ATAAAAAAACATACACCAGTTCTGTGTTTGCTTTTCACAAGAAGCATTGCCTGATGTGAATGATGCCTCGCACAAAAAAAGCTCTCAGAAAACCTACGATTAAGAATTGTTGACTTGCATAAAGCTGGAAAGGGTTATAAAAGTATCTCCAAAAGCCTTGCTGTTCATCAGTCCACGGTAAGACAAATTGTCTATAAATGGAGAATGTTCAGCACTGCTGCTACTCTACCTAGGAGTGGCCGTCCTGTAAAGATGACTGCAAGACCACAGCGCAGACTGCTCAGTGAGGTGAAGAAGAATCCTAGAGTGTCAGCTGAAGACTTACAAAAGTCACTGGCAAATGCTAACATCCCTGTTAGCGAATCTACAATATGTAAAACACTAAACAAGAATGGATTTCATGGGAGGATACCACAAAGGAAGCCACTGCTGTCCAAACAAAACATTCCTGCACGTTTACAGTTTGCACAAGAGCCCCTGGATGTTCCACGGCAGGACTGGCAAAATATTCTGTGGACAGATGAAACCAAAGTTGAGGTGTTTGGAAGAAACACATAACATTATGTGTGTGCGAAAAAAAGGCACAGCACACCAACATCAAAACCTCATCCCAACTTTGAAGTATGGTGGGGGGGGCATCATGGTTTGGGGCTGCTTTGCTACATCAGGGCCTGGATGGATTGCTATCATTGAAGAAAAAATGAATTCCCAAGCTTATCAAGACATTTTGCAGGAGAACTTAAGGCCATCTGTCTACCAGCTGAAGCTCAACAGAAGATGGGTGTTGCAACAGGACAATGACCCAAAGCATAGAAGTAAATCAACAACAGAATGGCTTAAACAGAAGAAAATACGCCTTCTGAAGTGGCCCAGTCAGAGTCCTGACCTCAACCCTATTGAGATGCTGTGGCATGACCTCAAGAAAGCGATTCACACCAGACATCCCAAGAATATTGCTGAACTGAAACAGTTCTGTAAAGAGGAATGGTCAAGAGTTACTCCTGACTGTTGTGCACGTCTGATCTGCACCTACAGGAAACGTTTGGTTGAAGTTATTGCTGCCAAACGAGGTTCAACCAGTTATTAAATCCAAGGGTTCACATACTTTTTCCACCTGCACTGTGAATGTTTACATGGTGTGTTCAATAAAAACATGGCAACATTTCATTCTTTGTGTGTTATTAGTTTAAGCAGACTGTGATTGCCTATTATTGTGACTTTGATCAGATCACATTTTATGACCAATTTGTGCAGAAATCCATATCATTCCAAAGGGTTCACATACTTTTTCTTGCAACTGTATTTGTATGTAGTGTTTGTGATTAAATGTAGAGGTGTATTTGTAAGTAGTGTTTGTTTGTGTTTAAATGTAGAGGTGTGTTTGTATGTAATGTTGGTGATTGATTTCAACAGTGTGTTTGTACGGTATGTAGTGTGGGAGTTTGTTGGCAGTGGTGTGTTTGCATATTGTGTTAGTGTTTGATTGCATGTAGTGTTCTTACAGAAATTAGAAGAGAACTATAGGGGAGACTAGGAAAAGATAAATTTTCCGCACTTCTCAAGTCTTCCCTCTAAAGGAAGGGGGAGAGCAACCCTTGGTAGAAGTTTAAAACATCACTTTTAATAGATTATTTAAAATACCCAAAACAGGGATGTTCAAAAATTTTTTTATAATAATTGTCAAATAAATCTTACTGCATACTGATTCACAATATTAGTATGCAGGTATAAGAAATAAAAACTATAGCATGGGTGGAAAGCAAAACAAAGAGAAATTAAAATAAATGTAAAGGTAGGGATACGTGTATCTATTAGTGGGAATTGGAGAGCCTGGTACAAGTCCACCAATCCTAACCAGCTAGTGCCCTATCGTGGCTTTGAGGGCACCCCTTAACAAAAATCTAAGGCTCAAACTTCCTCCCACATCCCTCCTGAGGGACTTCCAAATGAAAAAGGAGAGTCCTGCTTTCAAACACCCTCAGCGACACATAGCTAATAATAAGACAAAGAAAAATAAATAAAAATAAAATAGAACAAAGTAAATATAATGATGAGGTGGCTGATGTAATCTGATGGAGGTACCAGTATAATATCCCTAACATAATTTCCAGCACTTTGCAAAACGCGCATCGGGAATCATTGGTAGAGGTTTTGGCAGCAGGGAGTCCCCCTGCTGCCTGTAAAATGTAAAAAAAAGTTAAAACACAGTTTAAAATAAAACAATATTACATTATATATACATGATCTAAGTATATATATATATATACACACACACACATATACACATACACTGTCTAAGTGTATATTAATATATATATAATTATATATAGTACTATCAAAATACACGTACAATGATATTGATTAAAGAAGCACTATAGGGTCAGGAACACAAACATGTATTCCTGACCCTATAAGGTAAAAACCACCTTCAAGCCACCCTAGGCCCCTCATGCTTCTAAAAATAAAGTAAAATCTTACTTGAATTCAAGCCTGCAGCTGCATAGTTTGTCCATGTTTCCTTTAGACCTGGCCTGAGCCAATCACAATGCTTCCCCATAGGATTGGCTGAGACTCTGAAGGAGGCAGATCAGGGCATGAGCCAGCACAATTCAAACACAGCCCTGGCCAATCAGTATCTCCTTATAGAGATGAATTTAATCAATGAATCTCTATGAGGAAAGTTCAGTGTCTGCATGCAGAGGGAGGAGATACTGAATGTTTGGATGCATTTTAGGCAGCCATGACCCAGGAAGGATCTCTAACAGCCATCTGAGAAGTGGCCAGTGAAGTTATCACTAGGCTGTAATGTAAACACTGCATTTTCTCTGAAAAGACAGTGTTTACAGCAATAAACCTGAAGGTAATGACTCTACTCACCAGAACAAATTCAATAAGCTGTAGTTGTTCTGGTGACTATAGTGTCCCTTTAAATATATATATCATAATAATTATATATATATAATAAAAAATAAATAAATATGTAAATACATTAAAAAATTAATAAAAAATATATGTGTAATTTCGTTCTAACTGTATTTTGATATCAATATATATATATATATATATATATATATATATAATCCAAAATACTATTGTATCCTTGCACACACACTCCAATGATATTATGCCTGGTGCTGTCAAGCCAAATGCCAAAAATATACAAAAATATAGGGTACAGGAGGCAAGCACTCACGGTCTTTTCTGGTCTCTTTAAAAGGTTGTTCTTTATTTCATAGGTTAAAACTTGATTTGATCGACGTTTCAGCCAAACTTCATGGCTTTCATCAGGATCTTAACAGCTCAAAATACATCTTACAAATAACACATTTATATAGTAAAACAAATTATACAATCAATAATTAAAACACTTACCACCTGAAGGCTGCACTGCTTCCACGGCGTTCTATCGCCGTCTCTGCGCATGCGTCACCCTACCGCTACCCGGAAGTAGCGTGTTGACGTCATCGTTGCCGTGGATACCCGGTATGTTTACCTGGCTCCACGGCAACGCAGCGAGTAGTATCCTCGCTCTTACACAGTCAGCCTTGGCGATCTAACTCTATACCAAATCAAACATTTAAAAAACATATTAAACAGACAATATTTAACTATTTAGAGGAATCTTTTCCATTTCTGACTCAAATTATATTATTTATAAAGGCTATTGCATATCAAGTTCCTAAGCATACTTATAAAGTCAGGCTCTTACCCCCATCTTATCATACAACTCTTATTAAGTGTTTTTAAAGTTACAACTACAGATTATTTACAATAAACTATATTTCAATAATCTCAAAGTGCTAGGTATGCTATTTCTGTACAATAAAGTGCTAATATTTATATATTAAAGTGAAACTTAGTATGTTAAAGTGATACTCGTGCTATTTATATACATCAAAGTGCTAAACATGTTATATATATACATTAAAGTGCTAACATTTTGCCTTAAAGTGCAACGTAGTATTTTAAAGTGATACATGTGTGGTTTATGTACATCCAAGTGCTACATGTGCTATTTATATATACCAAAATATTACGTGTACTATTTATTGGACACCAAAGTATTACTCTCTGTATTACTACTATGAACCTCCTAATCACTGTGCATTAGTGATATTTCAATATATTATATACTTTCAAAGTGCTAAAAAAGTTATATTATACTATTATGTACAAAAATAGAGAACTAATAAATCTACTAGTGTCTTTTATATACATTATTTACATAAAACCTTATTGTAAATTGTATTATGTATCATACCAATATATTGACTTAACTTATCCTATCAATGAGTCATATTAATTATAATGATGCTCTTCACCCAAGAAAATATTATTTTAGATAGATGATTGAATACAATCCTTTATCTAAGCGGATAGGGTAGGATCTATAACTATATTATTGCATTTATATTTTAATTCATAGTGTTATATCTCCATTTTATTTAACCTTATTATTAATATATGATCTTCCTCTAATTCTAGTTAAAATATATATATGTTAATAACTCAAAGGAGGCAAACAATTATTTCAGCATTACTCATATAAATGGATGATATGAAATCATCTCGTTCAGTCCTCTTGGAGCCACGGTTTCTAATTCTTGTATCCAGAATGTCTCTTTTCTCAGTAGGGCATTACCCCTATCTCCACCTCTTCTAGAACAAGGTATCCAATCAATTGCCACGAATTTTAACATAGTCAAAGAATGTTTATATTCTAAAAAATGCTTCGCCACAGGTTTGTCTGTATATCCATCTCTGTAGGCGGTTCTTATGTTGGATCTATGACCCCTAATCCTATCACAGAGTTGCGTTTCAGTTTTCCCTATGTAAACCAAGCCACAAGGGCACGAGATTTTATATATTACATGAGTCATCTTGCACGTGATGGTATGGCGGATTTTATACATCTTATTTGTATGTGGATGGTTAAAATTACGTGCTGGCACCATATGACTACACGTCACACATCCTAGGCAGCGCACACTGCCTCTTACTTGTGTTTTCTTCTGTTCAGTGTAGCTCTCCACGGGGTCTGTTTTCATTAATATATCTTTTAAATTTCTATTTCTTCGATAGCAAATTCGTGGTGATTGCTTGAATTCTTTTGGTAGACTATTATCACACGCCAACATATTCCAATTACGTTTCACAATGTTGTTTATTTTCTGTGATTTACTGTGAAATGTCATGGGAAAAAACAATTTGGGGCCTTCTGTGATGTCTTGTAGCGTGGTCGCATTTTCTTCTGCTTCTTCCAACGCTTTATCTAAGACTCTTTCACTATACCCTCTATCTAGAAATTTCATTTTCATTTCTTGTAATTGTATTCGTTTCGTTGTTTCCTTTGAATTATTTCTCATGACCCTAAGAAATTGAGCTTTAGGTATAGACTTGATCAAATTTTTTGGATGTGCACTGTTGTAGTGTAATATGGTGTTTCTATCAGTAGGTTTAGAGTAGAGGCAATAGACCATTCTGTGATCTTCCACGGATAATTCCACATCTAGAAATTGTACTTTTTCTGTACTCACATTGGCTGTCATCCGTATTGATGTTGGGAGTTGATTAATAAATTCAACCATTTCTTGCGCTTGTAATTTCGTACCACGCCAAATTATCAGAATATCATCTATAAAGCGAAAATACTTTATGATGTTCTGTCTGAATGGTTTTAGTATATATTCTGTCTCAAAGATGTACATATAAGAATTGGCGTACATAGGCGCCATAGCCGCTCCCATGGATGTCCCTGATATTTGCATATACCACTGCTCTTCGAAGCGGAAATAATTATTTTTCAATGCTACCTCCAATAATTTCAGGGTATATTCAATGGGGGGACCTTTGTATTTCAATGAAGCACATAAGACTTGTCTCATAGCCTCTATACCACCATCATGCGGGATGATGGTATAGAGGCTGCTGACGTCCATCGTGATAAGTACGGGTGATTCTTCTTCTATATACAGATTTTGAAGTGTCGCCAATAATGAAGGTGTATCTCTAATACATGTATGTAGATCATGTACTGTATCTTTAAACATAGCATCTAGCCATTTCCCTATAGGTTGTAGTACACCGCCTATCGCTGATACTATAGGTCGTCCCGGAGGGTCTGTTCGACTTTTATGTATCTTGGGAATTGTGTACATAATAGGTGTCCTCGGATGCTTTTGTGTTAAATATAGATAGAGATTTTGATCTATATAGTTAGCTCTCAATCCTATATCAAGGATCTCTTCCACCCTTCTTTGTACTTCTTTAGTGGGATCACCTTTAAGTAACTTGTAGGTCTTTTCATCCAATAATTGTCTCCTTACTTCCATTGCATATTTTTCGTAATCCATAACAACTATGCCCCCGCCTTTGTCGGCGGGGCGTATTACGATGGAAGGATCTTTCGCTAGGTTTTCCAAAAGGTGTCTTTGTGCTTTATTCAAATTATTTCCAATGTGGCTAGGTTGTTTCAATTCTTCCGTTGTTTCTATTTGTACCGTAGATAAAAATGTTTTAATGTTGGCTTTAGAGTTAGGTGGATCAAAGTTTGATTTTGGTTTAAACTGAGTCTTAGTCGCTTTATGGTATTGATTTGCTGGTTGCTGTATTTGCACTTTATTGAAGTAATCTTTAAGTCGTAGGTTTCTTCCAAAGTTAAATAATTCTACGTTCCATGCAAATATATTTGGTCTAGCCGTAGGTACAAATGAGAGTCCTAGTTTCAGGATCTCTATTTCTTTCTCATCCAACTTACGTTGAGAAAGATTGAAGACTGGCACTACCTTTTCAGTGGTGGTTTTCCACGGGCTATGTATTTTCCCTTTATGACCTCTTCTTGTTCTGTGCCGGTTCCGCCTCTGCCTCTGCTTCTCGTCATAGTGCCCATTTGTGTTGTTTCTAAAAAAGTTTCATCACTTTGTTGTTCTACATCGGATGCCGACTCAGCCGATGTGACATCAATTGTGTGTTGCTTTGGGCGTATAATTTTCTTGCGCGGCCTTCTTGGTCTCCTTTGATGTTCCCCACTTAACCACTTATAGACGCGGTGCTCTACGTAGTCCTGTTGAACATATTCAAATTTTTGCTTTTTAAATCTAATAAGATCATTTTTATATTTCAATAATTCTTCCTTTAATTTGTCCAGCAATTTCATACCATCTGGCGACGCCAGTAACACCGCATGTTCCATTTCAACTTCTGTTATTTTCCGTGTAATATTCTCAAACTCTGTTTTATATATATATATATTGATATCAAAATACACGTAGAATGAAATATATATCTACATACATAAGTATATATATAAAAAGATATGGAAGGGCTGTGCCAAATAAGGGTAGATAGTCCAGTAAAGTATTGCTAGGGTGCCAATAGATGGTCTAGGATACTTGATAGAGTTCCTCTGTGGATGCGTCTAGTGTAGACCGTTCCGTATATGTAAATACAAGAGAGTTAGAGGCGACTAATGGTATAGTATGAAAGTTCAGGGTGTGATAGGTAACAAAAAGTAAAGAACTCACATTCAAGAGAGCTATGGCCAGCTCTGGTGTGGATTGCGTACAGCGGTATAATCCCCGCTTATGGGATATGTAAGGAGGGGGTCTCCGTCAACACCGTTTGGTAGTCCAGAAATCGGAAAAGAAAGACAGAAAGCAACAATAGTGTTCTCAATTTTGATGTGGTTCAATGTGCAGATAAGAAGAGGTAAAAAAACTCACATTTGAGGGAGCTATGGCCAGCTCTGGTGTGGATAGCGTACGGCGGTATAATCCCCGCTTATAGGATATGTAGCGGCGATACGTCCGTCAGCACCGTCTAGTGATCCAAGGCTCCAATATAGAAGAATAAAAAGCAGCAATAGTGCTCTCAATTGTGATAGGTTAAGAGTAGTAGAGAAAATAAAATAATACTCACAAAGATAGAGCAGAGGTACTGCTCTATGGATAGGCGCTGGTGGTATGATCCCCACCTAGGATTTCTTGGAGTACTGGAACTTTAAAATTGCCAGTGGAAGTAAAAGTAACCAGGAAAGGTTAAAATGCCAGGAATAGGTAAAAAAAAAGTTGTTTAAAGTGCATAAAGAGTGCAATAAAAAGAGGATTGGTACAATAAAGTAGCCAAAAAACTTTTATTGATCTAAAATACACAGTAAAATACAGAATTAATAACCATAAACGTGTTTCACCATAAGTGGCTTCTTCAGAATGGGATAAAAAGGTATATAAGTATATATATATAAAAAAATAATTTAAAAAAATTATATATATATGAAATGGAAAAATCAATCAATACATTGATTATTTCTTTGTGTATCTGCCCCTGGCCAAATCAATGAAACAGTGCGTGCACGCTCCCTGAAGTAATTCACACCAGACACAGGTTCTAGGTTGTTGAATAACTTGAGGAATGTTTATTCCGAGGGGACGGCAGGTCCCTTTTAAAGCAAAATTACATCATAAGCATTGTCAGAGATAACATGGAATAATACATCAATAATTGGTTAGGTGTTAAGTGGTCGCTCTAATGCTCTGCCTACTGAAGGTGATGTCAACAGGGCCATGAGGGTCTCCCACGGTTTCCCGGCGCCATCTTGCTGCACGAGGTAGTTAGTTGGTGTTAAAGGGAGAGGGAGGGGAGGAGGGGTTAGAAGCTTCTAGCAGCCATTTTGATTAAAACATGTGTGCTTAGCTTATATATATTGTATATAGTGAAATGAGTAAATAGACATTTTCATTAAATTGGAAATATGTGCAGACCTTATTTCCACAACAATATATATATATATATATATATATATATATATATAAAATTCTACATATATATTTATGTAATAATTTTACATAATCAGGTGTCACTTTATTAATTACAATTTGCGGAACCTGCCTGACAACCCAGGCCTAAAGTCTAGGGGAATTTTATTTGCTAGCACTATATTTAACCCTGTAACTTTCCAAGAAACCATAAAATCTGTACATGTGGTGGTACTGTTTTACTCGAAAGACTTCGCTGAACACAAATATTAGTGTTTCTTTTATAAATTTCTTTATTATGGGTTTTTCATGGTGTAACATGCAATAAGTTAAGATACATTATGAAACTCGCAGGTTTCTTATACTCATAGGTGCTTAGTGTACATTGAGATATGCAAATCTCTGTGTAAGCTTCAATGGTAGGGAGACTCGCAGGTCTCGTGGCAAGATGTATCATATGATCATATCGTTCAGATGCGAGATCGTAGGCCCTCAATACCGTTGCTTATGATATTTGGCTGTAGGAGTTACCGTTATAGTGGGCAGACTACAGAGGTGTGTATTAATTACCCTCCTAGTTAGGTCTAGGGTTGTGCTTCTTAGTTTGCTATCGTCGTAGTCCCAGTATTTGTCCGTGCGGTCGTGTGTCTCGTGTCATCAGTATATGAGTGGGGCAGAGTTAGTGCTAAAGGTCCTTTCGGTCTTTGTGTGTCCAGATTGGGCCTCGTCGTCTTTGGCCCGGATAAGGGTGTTTGTGCGTGGTTTATTGCATGGTCTAGCGTTTACTTGGTCGTGGGTGTGGTGGTGTGGAAGGGTCCCGTGTCCTTTCAGAATATTAGTGTTTCAAAACAATAAAATGTATTACAACGATGATATTGTCAGTGAAAGTGACATTCTCTGCATTTTTCACACACAAATGGTACTTACACTAATGATATCTTTGTGATACGTTTTACTGTGTTGAAACACTAATATTTGTGTTCAGCGAAGTCTCCCGAGTACCCCTCATGTACATGTTTTACGGTATTTTCAAAAGTTACAGAGTCAAATATAAGGCTTGCGTTTCAGTTTTTTCACATTGAAATTTGTCAGATTGGTTACGTTGCCTTTGAGACCATATGGTAGCCCAGGAATGAAAATTACCCCAATGATGGCATACCATTTGCAATAGTAGACAACCCAATGTATTGCAAATGGGGTATGTCCATTCTTTTTAGTAGCCACTAAAAAGTCACAAACACTGGCCACAATTGGCGTTCAAATTAGTTTTTTTGCATTTTTCACACACAAACAAATATTAACACTAACTTTGGCCAGTGTTTGTGACTACAAGTGGCTACTAAAAGGACTGGACATACTCCATTTGCAATACCTTGGGTTGTAGACTATTGCAAATGGTATGCCATCATACGGGTAATTCTCATTCCTGGGCTACCATACAGTCTCAAAGGCAACATAACCAATCTGGCGAAATTCAATGTTTATAAACTGAAAAATGTAACATGCTATATTTGACCTTGTAACTTCCCAAAACACCATAAAACCTGTACATAGGGGGTACTGTTTTTACATGTGAGACATAGCTGAATACAAATATGTGTATTTTATTGCAGTAAAAGCAAACAGTAACAGTTAAAATGTCACATAGAACTAAAAAAAAAAAAAAAATTTAAATCTTATTCTCCTTTTTTTATATGTTTTATTCATATTAAATTATGTTTCATACCTAAATATTTGATGTTGAATAAAAGCCCTGTTTCCCATGAATAAAATGATATATAATAAGTGTGGGTGCACTTAATATGAAGGAGGTGAACTATGGTTGAACAGACTTATAGTCACATTCCAGATTTTATTTACTTTTTGTTTTGATCAAAAAGTGCACATTTGGCTCAGTCCTTAAGGGGTTAAAGTCAAAATAAAAATCTCTATCAGCTTACACTTTGAGTCCAGCTATTTTGGTCTTAAAAGTTAAAATTCACTTTTAATTCACTTAAGTGCATAATTATTAAGTCAGTATTAGTTTATCATAGTTCAATTCGCTATAGATAATGAAAGTAAAACCAGAGATACCAGATAAATGGATTATGACAATCAATACATAGCATGTGATACATTATAACCAGTCCAGTTCTAGGCACAATTTAACCCTTCGAGCGGCAGAGTGCTACTCAACTACCTCTGTTGAACTGCATAGGGATCTGTGAGCTCTGTAACAGAGCTGCATTGCTGTAGGGGGGTAATCCCTCCTCGAGCATGTGATCTACTAATGACTGTCACATGCTGCAGCAGGAAGTGAGGTCTGCCAGTCCTTCGCTGTGTAAACACAGGCAAACACACAGCACATAACATCAATCTCTATTTCATACCTTCATGAAGTAATGCACAGCACCCTCAGCCACTAGATCAGGAAAGCCAGGATCTGCTATGTTCGGTATTTTCATTAATATCAATGTTATTTTTAATATAGACTTGTTTTTTTTCTTTTGTCTCCTGTATTGTTGCCCATTAATCTGCTGTAGTGCAATGTTGTTGCATTTTTTTTGTCTCTTACAATGTTTATATATTGTTATTAATATCTACAATATTTTAGTTGTTTACTAATTATGTAATATTAATTATAATCATATTTTCATTGTTTTTATTATATTCAGAAGGCATTGTATCCTGGTATCAATTTACATGGACACCACTATCTGTTGGAGCAGAGAGCAGTATCTAGTGTGGCCAGATGATAACCCAGAGATAATAATGATGTGAAGGCATTTGCTTTATTCCTTGCACTTAAGTAGAACTAGCACAAGCCAAGAAAATGGTCCGACTATACAACTGCCACCCATACGGCTCCCAGCGGATTGTGCCCACCAAGCAAGTGCCAGAGGTGTTCTGCTGTGGTGGAGACAGTGTGTTTGTAACCTGTGCTGGTGGATGTAAAGTGGAAGTATTCACCGTATGTAAGGACTTATGCCAGCCCCTATGCAGCTTTAACACTCTGGGCAAAGTGCTTGACATGAAGTATTGCGATATTGGTAAGTTAGTAAAGCCATTTGAATAAGCAGCAGAAAATATAGGCCAGGTGAAGCAATGTACATAATTTGTAATTGCAAACTAGACGTTGCAGATGCAGTCCTATTTAGTAAACAATGCACTTCTTTGGATGTCTGCTGATGCACAGTACACTGCCTGTAATTACTCCTTATTTGCCTTACTTACATGCAGATGTTTTTGTCCGCAGAGTGCTACATAATATAACAGTGGTACTTTTTTTTGTTTGCCTGCAAATGTGTATAATTGCAAAAGAGCTGTTTGTATGTGGAGGGGTGTGCACCAATAAGGATTTTCTATAAAAAGGGACAGTGTCCGTCCATAATTATTTGTAAAGTATTAAAGTATTTCTTCTCTCAACCAGGAGAATTTGATGGCAGATTTTAGAATTCGTTTAATTGGAGTCGTTTTCTATTTAGACTATTTTGACCCTATATATGTAGGTTTCTTGCTAGTTCTTCACGTTTATCTGTTTAGCAGATAAGCAGCACAGCTATTGTTGCTGTACATTTAATTAAAATTAAGCAATGAGGATAAAGTGCAGACTGTCAGTCTTGTTTTGATGGTATATACATCCACATTTACTAATGTTTTGCTTTTTCCTTTGTAGTCCTTCCATTTTTGGCAACTACGCAAAGTTCTATATTTGTTTATAAGTTGTGCAGTGTTAAGACCTGCAGTGGTTATGGTACTGCAGTCTTCTATTCCTTTCCCAATAGCTGAGCATAAGTGATTATAACTGCAGTTAGGAGGTAGAGGAATAGTGTAGATGAATGCAGCTACCAAGACGATTCTCCCCAGCAAGTAGAATATTCCCCAAGCATGAGCCTAGACTTCATGAAGGGTGTAACAGGAATGATTTTTATTGAGGCCACACTGACTTTTATGAGAATCCTCCTGCCAGAGGACCTCCCACAGTAAACAAAGACAATAACCAATCAGCATACAGATTCACAGTAACACCCGCCCTCTCTCTGCCTGGGAGATATTGAGATAAGTTACGGAATAACCCAATTATCTCCAGGCAGAGGGCACACAATTTTCCCAAAAATTAGAACACCCCTTTACACACAAGGTATCCCCAGAAATTATCCCCTGATAGCCCCGATCTGGGGGACCAACATATTCAAATTTCACCCAGATCGGTTCAGGGGTTCTCAAAAAGTATGGAAGTCATAAGTTACTGACCACACATGAGGCTCCTGCCCAAAACAGTTCCATGAATTCAGCGTGTGCGGTCGGTCAATTCAGTAAATGGCATAAAAACGAATAAAGTCCCGAATGGATCCTCCTGGCTCATAGGAGCGATTGCTCCTCTTGTTCGTATGAACCAAACTACCGAATGGCGCTCTCCTGGCTGTTCGGTAACTAAAGGAAGCAGGCGTTCGGTAGTTTCAGCGGTGGTTCGGGAGGTCGAGTGTCCGATTTTAGTTCCAGACACTCGACGACCAAGTCCCGCTGCCTCCTTTCGTGCAAACAAGATGGCCGCCATTTTCTGTTCCATGTGACATTCTGCTATACAAACGGAGAGCGCTTAATAGATGGTTCTTTTGAAGTTCATGAGCCAGGAGGGTGGTCGGTGTTCGGTAGTTTTAAACTGCCGACCAGTAAATCCAAAATGAACAAAAGGGTGCAGATAAGCACGAACACAGAAGAAAATGCAGAACTCAGTCTATTTTCTTCATGTGCAGTATTTTACTATATATCTTTTTTTTATTTATTTTTTTATGTATTATTTTGTTTGCTAAGATTATTTTCATGCACAAGCATTAACAAAATTCTAATTGTGGCATTTGCAAATGGAGGCTGTTGCCATTTAGTAGAAGGCATCAATGTAAAATTGGAACATATTGTTTAGACATGGCAAAAACATTATTTGTGTCAAAAGCCGCTATGCACATTTTTGTAAGCAGGATGAAAGGTGTCATGAACATTGTTGTGACCAGTGATATGTTGGACTGAAAATGACCAAAGTAGCTAATACTGTACATTGCCTCTTGGAGAGAAAACACTATTTTTAATGGTCAAACAGACCAAGAACACTCAAGGATTTAAGTATTGAATTTCTAAAGTGTAATGTAAAGAGAAAACCATCCTCAGAATTCTAGAACAAACATTTATAGACCAATAAACTGTGTAGACTTTTACCAAGGTGAATGAACAATGACTGTGTGTAATTAGAAAGTGTACGCAATCGTTCGCTCAGATTCATCCAAATTCCTAAGAAATGCGCTTAAAGGTACACTCCACTGCACCATCCTCCCCACCCCAAAAAACAAATCATTGTTTTGTAGATGCCTAATGAAAAGATGCATGCATTTGTTCATGGGGGAGAGTGTTTGTTTTATGTGTTTGGAGTGTTCCTTTAAAGCCAAGTCTGTACTTTAAAGGGATACTGAAGTGGCAGGAATACAAAGCTGTATTCCTGGCACTACTGATCCCTCTGTTTCCCCCTCCCTCGTGCCCCCTCCCCCTCGACGCTGGGTCAAAGCTCCGCACCCTCCTTGTAGTCCGCCACTGAGGGCAGATTCAGAGCAGCAATGTTTTACATTGTAGCACTAGGTTCCAAAGGGACACAGCACCCAGACCACTTCAATGAGCTGAATTGGTCTGGGTGCCTATAGTGTCCTTTAACCTCTCCCACATTGATTCCCTTTAAATCTGATCTGCAGGTACAGTGCAGAGACAAAGCACCATAACATATTTAAATGTCCAGAATCTTAAAACCATGCATTTTATCTTGCATTTTTTTTTTCATTTAGGGTATATCTCTCATCTGTAGCCTTTGCAAACCTTTCCACCTTTCATCTCCTTGAGAATGTTTTCCTGGCACTGGAGAATCCCTTTAACAAGGCTACTTAAAATCACCAATCTTGGCAAATAAATATGGGGATTCCGTTCCACCATATGGCCTCTATGAGAAGACATTAATTGGCACAGTGTGATGTTTTGACGCGGATGTTCAATAGTCTCTCAATGCTTTTCTATGGGTTAGCATTGGATTGGCTGAGATCATTAAGATTAATGATCTCAGCCATAGAGGTGGTTCCAGCCTCGCTGTCACCCAGCATGGCGTGAGTAAAAACACCTTTTACATGTGATTGGAGGGCGGCAGGTCACCTAAATATAGACACTCAATGACACACACTCCCTGGCAGACACAAACTCACTGACAGACAGACATACACACTCACTGACAGACACACTTACTGATTTGAGACACACACTGATACAGCAATACTCACACTCCCTCACAAATGATTACTTTTCTTAAAATTTCAATCAACCCAACCTTCCTACCTTTAGTAGAGCTGGAATGGATCAGCTTTCCTTGGGGTCCAGTGGGGTTGCTGTCATCTCCCGTCTCCAGGACAGGACTAATGAGATAACACAGCATCACTGGAGGACGAGGGAGCAGAGCAGGGAGATTCCCCTTTTTTGTGCTCTAATATAGCTGTGTGTAAATTTACTTTTTAAGGTTGTTTACATCTCTAAAAATAATAATAATTTCCAGGGAGAAGTTTATAAAATAATGGATCCTTTTTTTTTTTTTTTTAAATTGGCCATGATTTTCTTAACGTTCTACTTACTTGTTGGCTATATTAATCAAAATCACAAATAAACACCATATGCATTGACCTTATGGCAATTTTTATTTTGTTTTTAAATAGGGTTATACTCTAATAATGTCACTTATCTTCTGATCAACCTTATTTAAAGGGTCACTATTGTCAGGAACACGAACACTATAGTTTTAAAACCACAGTTTAGGTGTTTTGCCCCATACCTCAGGTTAGAATATAAATACATTTATGGATCAGCTGTGGGACAACAGTGGGGATCAAACCTGATCCCACTGCCATCCCACAGACTTGCAAATGAATAATTTTGTTTTCAACCAAAAATAATGTTATGAATTATGTTGCTGTAAGCACTTTTGACATTTTAAAATCTCTGTAAAATTTATGTAATTGTATACCTGTCTGTTACATGCAGATTGGTTTTAAGTATATTTTGCTCTATTATTGCAATTGAACTTTTGTTTACATCTCAACATTTCTATCCATCAGGAGACTACTTGGTTACTATTGAATCAAAAAATAACATTTCTGCATTGAGGACATATGTGAATTGGCGATGTCAGGCCACTGTATCCTCCCGCATCAGTGTGCGAATGCTTGGAATTAGGCTGGAGTCTTGTCATTCTGGATCAGCAAAGGATCAGATGGAAATCATAGAAATGCCTCTTTCTGACCCTCCATTATCCCTTGCTTGCTGTCCCATGCGTGGAGACCTTCTTGTTGGATGCAGTTCTAAACTTATCATCTTCAGCTTAAAGTACATGTCAATCTGTGATGTACCTGTGTTAGACTTTGAGCGTTCGCTGATTTTACACATTATGGGTATTATTCCGACACACATCACTTTTTGTGCTGGGTATATAGGCATCTCTACAGACTTAGAAGTATTGTTAATTAAATTAATGCCTACACCATCTGAATCACCTGAAACTACATCTCAAAATCTAAAAGAACTGGAAACAGTATCTGAAAAAGGTGAATGATAATTTACACACTAAATTTCTTTATCTTCTTTGCCATTTCTACTTAAGACAAGTCCTTTAGAGTTACGGCAAGCATCATAACAACTATTACATTACAGTTTAGTTTTAGTCATTGTCTTTTGAATAAAAATCAGTTTTAGTCTTATTTTAGTCATCTGAATTGTTTTAGTTGACTAGAATCTGACTAAAATTGTTAGTCGACAAAATTAACACTGGCAAGAAGACTGTCTCACTGCTGGGGAAATTAAATTAAATTTTTAATTAAACTGTGGGCATCCCTGTATCTACATTTAAAATTTTTTTTTTTATATTTAAGAGTTTTAAAAATTCTAAAATTAAGTCAATCATCATTGAGAACAGTGGGACTCCAGTTTTACATGATTGTACAGCTTTTTAGAGCAGAACGCTTTAATAAACTCCCCCAATGTTCTGAAGGCTGTTTTGGGTTTTTCACTAAACTGGAAGTCCTCTAAAATTTAGTCAGGAAGTTTTGTAATTTGTTTTTTAGCTTGAATTGTCTTCTTCTCAGTTTTCCATAATTCCCAGATAAGCTAATGTTACAAATAGTTATTAAGCTCACCGGACTTTCACAGTGCACAAACATTTTGCTAACTCTGTTTCAGAGCCTAAGAATCCTCTTCCACTGCAGTCCCACCTGCGAGAACTGGATGATTTTGTAATGTGTCAAAGGCCTGTGGAACTGGTAGGTGAGGAATGTAAATCCTGCAGCATTTTAGTGACCCCAGAATCAACCGGACTCTCCACAGACTTCACAAGACCTTCCCAAGTACATCACGTACTGTACAGGTAAGCAATATGATTTCCCAGCTAAAACAGAAGCGACTATATTTTGCCTTAAAATATGTATGTACTCCAAGTGTTGCAAGCAGCAGCATGTAACATAACAAATGTATCACTTGTTATATTCTTATGACAGAGTTTATCTTCATACATACCCATATTAAAAATTTTTGTTTTTATCAGCTGTGCATTTTGTTGTAGTGTAAGGGCTTTTTAACTCCTTAAGGAAACATGACATGTGTGACATGTCATGATTCCCTTTTATTCCAGAAGTGTGGTCCTTAAGGGGTTAAATTTCTTAAACAACTTCATAACCAATCAACATTTTCATCAGTGTCACTCTTTGCTTGGTCATACTCTCTCCCACCTTAAATATATCTCTGTCTCGAGATATATTTTTAAGTCGGAAAATCAAGGAGTCACCAGAAATCATGGAATTTCAATATTTCTTTGGATTACATCATTTAATTGAACTAAACCTCTATTTTCTTCATTTAGTTTCTTTAGAAGTAGTAGAGTAAGAATCTAACTTCCTGGTTTTGTTTATTTAATCTTGAGGTGCACAATGATTTTCTCCAAAACTGCCACCAGAAAATCTGGGTAGTAGTCCTTCCAAAAGTAGTTGTGGGCAGGCATGTTTTGATTTTCCTGTCTTTAGCCCTGCCACGGGCAAGTGCTAGAGCTACTAAGGGGTATTTAGGGATCAGCGCCAGGGCAGGTTGCTTGTGGCCTGCACCTCCTGTAGGTTCAGGCCACAGTAATCTCTCCCTCACGTTCTGGTACTCCCCAATAAATCAGTGTGTAAACTAAGAATCCAAGTTGCTGAGCTCTTACTTATTGAGTGCCAGACTGTGGTCTGCACCTGCTGTCCTGCATGACTGCGAGTGGCTAAGGACAATTATTTAGTGTTAAACCACTTAAAAATCATTTTACATTGAATAGTGGGACAGTGCCAGGGGACTCCACATGCTATAACCAATTCAATTAGATGGAATGGTTAGTTTCATTAAATAATGCAGTTCCCATCACAAAGCATCATAATCTACTGTCCTTTCTTAATTAATGACCCATGGTTTTTTTTCTAGGCGGTTTGCCCCAGACTTTTCCGAAGGACTATCTGTTGAAAACACCAGATTGCATTCTTTGCAGCTGCTGCCCATATGTAAAACCGGTACGTATAAATTGTAAATAATATACTAATTGTCAGATTTGTGCAAAACTGTCTGGAATTCGAAGTCACTTTCAAATGTAAGGCAAACATACCTGAACTGGAAAAGTCTGTTATGCTTTCAGTTCAGCTATTCGGAATTCCCAACAATTCTTAATTTAGTAAATAACACTTTTAGTTTATCAAGGAGTGCTATTTATGTAGAAATGTGAACAAATATTCTCTTGCAGAGCAACAGCTTATCAAATATTCGTTTTTGCTATTTTCTAAACTGTATTCCCTTTAAGTATATCAATATGTCCAACACATTTTCAATATATGTTAATGATGATCCCTCCGTGACAAGTTTACTTTTTCTTTACAAAATATTTTTCTATAACTGCTCTGTGACATTGCTATATACTATTCTCTGCATCCTTGCTATACAAAATTGAACTTTTTATCACATTTTTTTGAATATGCCCAGGCTGGATATCACACAATAATTTGTTTTTTTCCTTTACTTTTTTGAAAAAAAATAAAAAAATAGGCTTCTTTAGTAATTCCGAAGAAACCACTCCCCAAAAAGAACTGCTAAGCTTGTTTTGTTTCTTTTCATTGCCACATACCGGCTATTTATACACTGTGGCAAATGAAGTCAAACAGATATCTGTCTATCGGTACCCTGAAAGATCTCAGCAGGCAGTATTGACTCCACAGTTTCTCCATGTCATTACAAGGTACGTTGAATCATACATTTATTACTATACCTTTTTAGATGTCTCGAGTTAAAACCCTGTCATGGGATTTCAAGCTTATAATTGGATAAGCATTTAATTTAATAAAATTTATATTTTCTCTTGATTTTATTTAGTTTCTTTAGAAGCAGAAGAGTAAGGATCTAACTCCCTAACTATGTTTTTATTTAATCTTGAGGTAATCTTGCACAGCAGTTTTCTCCAAAACGGACACTATAGAAACTCTGGGCTTTCCTCCCCAATGTCTTTAGTTGCTAGTGGAACAGAAAGACCAGAGATCATTTGAAGTTAGAAAGTTGTCTGATACAAGATTGTGACCTGTTGCTGTTGGAATAATTAAGTGATCCTTGCAATTCCAGTTACAAGTGTCCTCTTGTTTGCAGTAACAACTTGCAGTGCTTCACTGTAAGATGCAGTGCAGCTGCAGCCCGAGACGAAGACCCATACATTGATACCACTATGAAGGTATATTATTTTATTACTATTTAATGATAATTAAGCTGGTCTGCCAATGGTTATCTTTCTGTATATTTTCATGGCATTTTTGTTAAAAGGGCAATTCGGACAACTACATAACTGTAATGCATTTGATATTTTTTGTTTCTCATTAACATGCTGGAGTTTTTGCACATAAATAAATATTTTGCAGAATGTTTCATTGTGAGCCTGCCTCCATAGCCAAGGCTCCAATATTCAAAAAAGAAGACTTAATTATCAGTGTAAGTAAACTTATCCACCATTAGCAGTGCTCTGGGCAAAGCAGTCTGCATTACAAGGAGAGGACACCGAAGCAGACACTTAGTAAGCAGGCGAATGTCCGGTGGGCCGCAATAGCCATTGCCTAAGGCTGACAGAGGAGATCAAAGGACACATAAATATTTTACAGCCCAACACAATTTCTACAGTTGAGAGTTGTAGAATAATGCAAGTATCCCTTTCTTATCCCATTCACGGGTTGTTTGGACTCTTAATTGTATGTTGTACTTGTGTATTTGTTGTAGAGAAGGGGAAAAAAAACACACACTTCTCTTGATGCATTCTGATTCAACTTTTTATCAAAGTGACACTGCTGCCTTTTATACCCATAAATAAAGAATAGGTACCCGTTATTGACAAATGCCTTTGATCATATTAATATTTGGTCTGTAACCATGCAAATAAAAGTGAATAAGTATTTGTGACTATACCTGTTACAGCTCTTCTGTCTAACTATCTCTTTGTTTCTATTTCTTCACCCCCCCCCAGACTTGCCCGCCTGTAACACTTGATGTTTGTACACTAAGAATGCAGCTCTTCATAGGACTTAAAGCCATTGACCATTTTAAAAACTATATTATTATCTTGACAAAAGCTGATATTGAGGATGTGACAGTGAAAGGAAAAAGCCCCAAAACAATGCAGTAAGTTGATTGCATTTATTTTCTTATAATGACAATTTTTTTTAAATGTATTTTTTAATAATTCTTTCTTTTTGAGTGCATAGATATACAGAGAGACTTGCACAGCCACAATAGCCTTTGCAAGCACAGAGTGTCACATAAGGAACATTTACATGGCTTTGATAAAGTTGCACATTTTTGAATAGTAAGATTAATACAGGCTAGATATGTTTGTCCAGGTAGTTAAACTGCTTTTGGATTGCTTAGTTAGATAGATAAACTGGACATGAGGATTATGTTAAGTAAAAGAGTAGACACGAGTAATAGAATATGAGTAGTACCACTGGGTGAGGAATTGCTTAAGGATGTGGGTTGCAAAAGTAAACAAAAGGAGCAAAAAAAACTTAGACAAGACGGCATGATGGCTATAAGAGCTCATACAGCTATGGTAGTTGAACACGCAGGAGAGTCCCGTAGGAACTGTATGAGTGTCTTGGGTCGTAACTGATTGTCAACCTACACCCAAGGTAGGAAAGCATGAGTCCTTGGCATGAAGGGTTAGAAAGGTAGCAGCCCCAGAGTTGCAACGCCTGGCCATCCTTCCGCCCCGAGCCTGTGTGCAGGCCTGCAACCTCAAGCCACGGACTTGGGACTTTTCATGGGCCAAGTCCTTACCCGCAAGGGTTAGATGGGAGGTCCGGGTGGCTCGTCGCTGTCCTATGCGAGTTGTTTTCCGTCCGTGTGGCTGGTGTTGTCGGGCTGTGCCCCTGTTAACTTTCAGCCCAGGGGAGACCGTAGCTAGTACCGTCTGTGCTTTCTTGATGTGCGTGCTCGGCAGGGGCATGTGCGCCGCCCAGCGTTCACCCGTCTAATCCTCCTCTTGATTTTAGTGCGGCATAGCCCGTTGCTGTGCTTCTAGTGAGGCCCAGAAACTGTTGAAAACCTCATCCGTTGCATAAAAGGGATATTGGGGTCGGGATGGTTCAATCCGGTTTGCTGTGTTGCGAGCGTCTGCGCCATCTTGCGTGGCCACACTGCAGGCAGGTGCCATTTCCACTACTCGCGGTGGTGCTTTGTGCGAGCCAGTGGGGTCTGGAAAAACCCCCACTGGATCAAAGGGGGAGGGGGGAACAGGACCACAAGGAGTACTGCTATGACACTGGTTCAAGTGGAACGGGAGATCTGCCGTCTAGGCGCTGGAACCTCCTTCAGAATTGCAGGCTGTTAATGCTCAGAGGTACCGCAACCATGTCCGGGATCAGGTAAGTCGCTGACAGAAGCTGTTAAATCGCTTGGGTACCTGGTACACGGTATTGTAGCTAGTTTAGGTCACGACCCCCGACAATTTGTTTTTAGGGGCACTTGAATGTAAATTTAAAGCCAGTGGTGTCGTCTGCAATTTAAATGTGACCAATGTCTGTCTGTCTATTTGATAAATGCATGTGCATACAAGTATTCCATCACTTTATAGCATCTTACTGTAAATTAAACTGTTTTTTTGGGGGTGGGTTTTTTGTCCTTTGAATTGTAACCTGGAAATGTAATATTTTAAAAATAGTTGTTTAGTTCACCCTGCAACTTTCTAAACTTCAATGAAACCTAAAAGGCAAGGGTGGAACAGCGCTACAATAACTGATCACAAGGGAGCTGCACACCCGAATAGAAAGGTAATCCTCAAAACCTTCAAGAATAAATCGAACAAACAAAACAAATGATACAGGTAGCGCCAAAATAAAAACAATATTGTAGTATGTAATCAAAAGGTACCAAGTAAAAGATAAAAATGTCCTTTTGATTTTTAAAAGTCTTCAAATGTTGAATAAGATGTCTACGGAGTGGTGTCACACATCAACAGCATATGCAAAAGAGAACATAGGAGACCAATAGTGCAGTATTGTAAGTCTATGGACTATAGACAACACAGAACTAAAAATTGATCACTCATGTTTTTTCAGAGCTATAACATGTTCTCGGTAAAACAGTTTACAGACGGCAGTTGTAGTGTAGATTCTTAGTAATGGGTATTGTTAAAAAGCCAAGTATCAAGTCCTACTGGAATAAGCAACCAATCCTGGCTTGGGGTTATCCTGTAATACAGTGTATGATATCTAAAAGAGAAAGGAGAAAAAAAGGAGACAATGAAAGTGCAGTATGTCTTTAACACAGTGAAGAAGAGTGCTATAACAAACTCACTCACAATTTACAGAGCTACAATGAGCTCTACTGTGTTGGATGTAGACTGTACATTTCCCGTCACTCGATATATGTTCAGCTGCAGACTTTATCAGTGTCTCAGATATGTGGAGACCAAAAAATATGAATATCCAGTAGTGCAATTTGTATATCAAAGAGCTCTTTGTAGCTCTGTAAATTGTGAGTGAGCTTTTGTTATAGCACTCTACTTCAATGTGTTAAGAGACAATGATTTTTTTTTCCTTCTTCCTCTTTGAGATATCATACACTGTATAACAGCCAAAGATCCCATAAAAAAGTACGTATATATGATCTATATGTGCATTATTGTAATCTATGCGCGATTATCTATTTTTTTTATTTGTTTCCCGTTTTGATTCCTACGAGGTTTTAGGGAACCCTTGTAAGATTGACTGCTGCCTTTAAGTATATAGTGAGCACCTAATTTCTGTATTTTTCTAATATAGCTCAAATTCTATGTTTTGTTTTTAGGTTTTGCTTAAAGGACCACAATAGTGCCAGGAAAACATACTTGTTTTCCTGGCTCTATAGGGTCCTTGGGTCCCCCTCCTGCTGGGCTCTAGAGTGAGGAAGGGGTTAATCCCTTACCTTTTTTCCAGCGCCGGGATTCCTCGGTGCTGGGGACTCTCCTCCTCCTTTTAGCTGAATGCGCATGCATGGCACGAGCTGCGCGCGCGTTCAGCCAGTCTCATAGGAAAGCATTCTCAATGCTTTCCTATGGACGCTGGCGTCTTCTCACTGTGAAAATCACAGTGAGAAGCACCTCTAGCGGCTGTCAATGAGACAGCCACTAGAGGCTGGATTAACCCATTTTTAAACATAGCAGTTTCTCTGAAACTGCTATGTTTACAGCAGAAAGTGTTAATCCTAGAGGGACCTGGCACCCAGACCACCTCATTAAGCTGAAGTGGTCTGGGTGCCTATAGTGGTCCTTTAAGGACAATTGCCTTTGTCCTTAAGCAAGCTGTAAAACAGATTTTTTTTTAAATTAAATTATTTTTTTTACCCATATCTCCCCCCTCTCACACTTGCTAATATCCTAATAGAAATTCTATGATATTGTCAGGTTATTCCTGGTGTGTTTTTGATCTTGTATTGTAAAATAAGATACTTTGAACATACATAATAAATTTTTTAACATTTTTTTTTTACTTCCATTTAGTTCGTGGAAAAGTGGAAGTGTTAAAAACAAGACCTCACCAGAAACTGGGCCTGGTTGGAACCTATATGTCGTGAGCACAATGTCAACAATCCAAATCTACAATGAACTGGTATTCAGTAGTTTGTTTTTACTTGTGTTCAACTATATATCACTATCAAAACATATGTGTAGAAATTTATCTATATGATTATACCCTTTTTTAATTTGACTCACAAATGTTTTTCTGAACAATATTGACTAAGTAAGTGAACCGTATAGGGTTTGTATGTACACAATGGGCAAGACGGTCATACACAGTTATGTGTATATTTGAAAATTGAGCCTTTATGGTTTAAGGACACCACTTGGGGGCCACCTGTTTTAATGAAACTGGCAGGGCCACTTGAAGGTTAGGGACCGGAGCCATTGCTGGCTGCATAAAACACATCCACCCAGAGCTGTGCTTGGCTAATTTTAAACAGTGCAGCTCTCTGTCATCTTGCTCTGTAATAATAGGTGACGACACATCCAATACAAATACTTCAATGACTTGAAACTCGCACACTGACCATTACACAACAACTATTTTACATTCATAAACAAATAGGAAAGGATATAGGTGAGCACTTGTAATCTAAGAAATGCAAAATATAGATCAAAAGTTAATTTCACTTAAAATAATACTATCCCGAAACACTGGACTGTTGGTTTTATCCGTTCATTGTAAACTATTAGTTTTTTTTTTTTTTAGAAACTGTAATGTTTGCATTGCAGTGTGAAATCCACCTCTAATTGTTGTCTTCCTAACAGCCACTAGAAGCGCTTCTTCTTCCAGACTAAAACTCAGTCTGGGAATCAAGTGCTGCTTATAACTGCATTTGATTGGAGGAGTGTGCCATTTTGCCATGCATGTGCATCTCCAACCCATTGCTTCTCTACCAATAGCATGCCTATGTCTTCGAAGACAGAGTGGACGGCTGGAAAGAGGCCAGTAACGCAAACGATGGACAGAAGGGAACTTCTGAAATAATTATAATTTTCAGAACTCTAAGATCACTTTAAACTTAAATACTGTAGTGATTCAAAGAAACACCCTGCATTCACAGACACTTTGTGCATCCAGGCATTATCAGCCAAACTACTGAATTCATACACACTAATGCATGCATGCGATTGAGATAACCAAAGATTTATATGTAAAAAATACAATCTATGAAGTGATGATTGGAATTTTTTTTTTTTTTTTTTAAATACATGAGGAACATTTACACATGGATGAATGGATGAAAAACATGTCCTTTGTCAGCTTGGAAATATAGTGTATATCACCTTAAAGCTGAGAGTCAAAATGTCAATATGAGAAACATACCAGTATCTTCTACCAGATCGCTTTTTATCACCTTATGAATAAGCTGGTTTGGCCACTGTTGGAGTATTCCCACCAGTGGACTCATATTGGGACCAGTAGCAGTCACTCCTACTTGAAATGAACAATAGGAATCAATGCAATGTCTAAATCAAATTATCTGCATGTGCTTTTCCTAGGTAGAGTATAGCAGGAGATATGATACGATGAAGACCCATGGCAGCATTCACCTTCTGAGTGAAGCTCATTTATTGGTGAGGGCATCTCTAATGGCTCCAAATGTACATGAAATGACAGAGAAGGCTGAACTGGTAGCAGCATTCAGAGACAGCTGTGCAAGTCTAGGTCAGTGCTTCAGCAGGTATGCATTACCCGTGGGGTTTATATTGCCATGCTCTAGATTTTAACAATTCATAATATCTTTCCACAGTTGTATGGATATTCATTTTTACAAAGGATAAATATAGCAATGCACCTGGAAAACAGATTCTGAATCTCTCTTAAACTGGCACTTTCGACACACAATTTATTCTTGTCAATACTGAAACCTATATGCATTTAGACTGTATGCAGTATTTTAATACCTTTATAATTTCTAAGATACTTTAGATAAACAAATTTACTCTGTTATCAAAAATGTATTTTCAAAATGTAACAGAGTGTATTCTTAAATACAATTTCTTCACATTGCTTCAATCACATACAATGCATAGGTTTCTTTAATTTATTTTTTTAAATCTATTTTGTGTTTTAAGGTTAGACACCAAGCATTCTCATCTGGCTCTCCCTTACTTCAAGATGTCTGGCTTGTCTGTATCGAAAGTTATACAGAGAGTTTTGTCCAATGAATTTTCTCTGGATTATGGGAAAGGATTCATGTTTTATCTCAAGCATACTCTCTTTGAGGAACTGGATGAAGAGCTTAGTGAAGTAAGAACATCCTTTTATTTATTTTTTAAAATTTTTTAAATGCATAAATATACTTTTTATCCTTACATATAACTTATTGTGAGTTTACAGACTTAATCCTGATGTATAAATTCACCCACATTATAGATTGTTTATTTGACAGTTTGAAGTGACCATAAACGCATGTTTTAACTCTCTGTGAATATTAACACTATTTACCCGGACCTCTCTCACTTACACCTGGCATGTAATAAAGTGGGGGACATTCACCATAAGCAGCAGACTGTACTCTAGCCAATCAAGTAGGCTGTTCACAATCTATCAGATCCTAAAAAGTCACTGAAAGCAAGGTGGTAATTGATGATCCGTGACATAATAAGACAACATGCTTCATATATGTATAAGATAAAATGTCTCTGTTTGTTACATGAAAATAAAACATTTTTATTTAGATATTTTAGCATTGAGAGGCTACCTTGGTTTACTCAGAAAAAATTGGATACATATAACTTATTGTGAGTTTACAGACTTAATCCTGATGTATAAATTCACCCACATTATAGATTGTTTATTTGACAGTTTGAAGTGACCATAAACTCATGTTTTAACTCTCTGTGAATATTTACACTATTTACCCGGACCTCTCTCACTTACACCTGGCATGTAATAAAGTGGGGGACATTCACCATAGTCACTGAAAGCAAGGTGGTAATAGTCACTGAAAGCAAGGTGGTAATTGATGATCCGTGACATAATAAGACAACATGCTTCATATATGTATAAGATAAAATGTCTCTGTTTGTTACATGAAAATAAAACATTTTTATTTAGATATTTTAGCATTGAGAGGCTACCTTGGTTTACTCAGAAAAAATTGGATACATATAACTTATTGTGAGTTTACAGACTTAATCCTGATGTATAAATTCACCCACATTATAGATTGTTTATTTGACAGTTTGAAGTGACCATAAACTCATGTTTTAACTCTCTGTGAATATTTACACTATTTACCCGGACCTCTCTCACTTACACCTGGCATGTAATAAAGTGGGGGACATTCACCATAGTCACTGAAAGCAAGGTGGTAATAGTCACTGAAAGCAAGGTGGTAATTGATGATCCGTGACATAATAAGACAACATGCTTCATATATGTATAAGATAAAATGTCTCTGTTTGTTACATGAAAATAAAACATTTTTATTTAGATATTTTAGCATTGAGAGGCTACCTTGGTTTACTCAGAAAAAATTGGATACATATAACTTATTGTGAGTTTACAGACTTAATCCTGATGTATAAATTCACCCACATTATAGATTGTTTATTTGACAGTTTGAAGTGACCATAAACTCATGTTTTAACTCTCTGTGAATATTTACACTATTTACCCGGACCTCTCTCACTTACACCTGGCATGTAATAAAGTGGGGGACATTCACCATAGTCACTGAAAGCAAGGTGGTAATAGTCACTGAAAGCAAGGTGGTAATTGATGATCCGTGACATAATAAGACAACATGCTTCATATATGTATAAGATAAAATGTCTCTGTTTGTTACATGAAAATAAAACATTTTTATTTAGATATTTTAGCATTGAGAGGCTACCTCGGTTTACTCAGAAAAAACTGGATACATATAACTTATTGTGAGTTTACAGACTTAATCCTGATGTATAAATTCACCCACATAGAGCTCAAAATAATGCCTAAACACATGTTGGGGGGGGGAGTGTAGATTAGCATGTATCTCTAAGGATTAAAATCTGTGAAACACTGCCCAGGCAGCAGCATAATAGTTTGAATCTGTAAGTGTAGCAAAAGATCTAAATAAGATGTTGTCATTTAGAACAGAGATTTGTAGGCTTTAGTAAATTACCATTTTGGGTATGTCCTTTGTGGCAGTGCATAAATCAGTATCTGCTCGGCTTACATCCAGAAAATATCCTGTTCAGTCTTCATTTAAAAAAATGTCCAGATAGTGTAGTATTAAAAATGGGGATTTCCATCTGGGAACTTACAAAGTAGAATCCCCCTCCCACCCAAGTAAAGTAATCAATTGGCATGTTAAGGTCTGTGTAGTTAATTACTGGAAAACTTTACTTTTTGAGAGTTTTAAAATTAATTCAATATTTTTTTATTTATTTTTTCAGGACATGGCTTTAAAAGTACTGCAGATCTTTAGCAACCGTGAGCCAAGTCATCTTCCCTATGTTTTGTGCAGTTCCAGTATGGCAAATGTGTGTCCCAAGAAAGCAATTGATTGCCTGCGAAAGTTAGAATCTAGTTCACCATCGGCATTAATCTCCCTCACAAAGGCGTCCATGGCATTGCGCATGCAGGATGCTAAGACGTGTGAAATTGAGATACAGCGCCACCCAGAGGTGAGAAGTATCTAACTTGTAAAGTGTGTATGTATGTAGTCAATTGAAAAAGAAAGTACACCCTCTTTGAGTTCTATGGTTTTACATACCAGGACATAACAATCCTCTACTCCTTTGAAGGTATTAAAACTTGCTAAATACAACACCACATATGACTTATTATGATTTAACAAAACATAAAGCCAAAATGGAGAAGATGTGTTAAAATCTAAGCACACCCTTACTGCTTAAATAGGAATTAAGAGGCTAAGTAGCTGATAATCAAATACCCTTGATTAGTTGATTAATCGATCATCCGCAAGTGTGAGGACATATATAAAAGCCAAGGTTTACTGATCTGGAGCATTCAGATGTGTGTTAACACAATGCCAAGGAGGAAATACATCCTCAATGAATTTAGAGAAGCAATTGTTGCTGCCTATCAAACTGGGATGATTATAAGGCAATTTACAAATTTAAATTCCATCATTCTACAGTGAGAAAAGCTATTCAAAAGTTGAAAACATTCAAGACCGTTGCCAATCTTCCCAGCAGATTCGCCTAAAGGTCAGACTGCAATGCTCAGAGAAATTGCAAAAAACCCAAGAGATACATCTCAGACTTTACAGGTTTGAGTTAGCATGCTGACCTCATCTTTGCCTTATCCTTGCCTGTACCTCGCTTTGGATATTCTCGGTTTATTACTGCATTCTTGGCTCTATCTACTAAACCATGACATGTGGGACCTTAAGAGACCTGTGCATAAAGAAATGCACATCTCAATGATCGAAGCACCATTGTAAAGAAGAGTAGGCCAAAACCTCTCCACCATGATGTGAGAGACTGCTAAAGCAATACAGAAAATGATTGCTTCAAATTATTGCCGCTAAAGGTGGTTCTACAAGCTATTGAAACTTAATTTTTTTTTTTTTTTTTTTTTTAAATCATGACACTGTGTGATAAGTCGCTTGTTGTTCATTTGAGGTTGTATTTACCCAATTTTAAGATCTCCTAAGGAACCGATGACTATTATGTCCTGATATATAAAATCATGTATCCACACTTTAAAAGGAAAGCTTTTCCTGTGATCTAAAAAGCCAATGAACAGAAACCGACCAGGTACTGAATGATGGGGGTTTTTTTTTTGTTTGTTTGTCTTTTTTTGGGTCCAAGAAATTTCCAAGAAATCATGTTTGCACAATTCTCCTTTTCAATCCCATTTTAAAAATGGAATGCTCCATTTAACAAATGAAGGGCTTTATAGAGCTACAAATACCAAATTATGTAGTAGGTTCTTAAGGGGTTAAACCCTTAACAGCCCAACTAGATAAATGCTGGCAGCTGAATTCTGTGTGCTGTGTTATGAATCTTACTGACTGGTGAATTGAAAATTGTCTCTTGAAGCTATGCTTGTGATTCTAGATTTTTGCAGATAGAATATACTCTGATTCTATCTAGTCTCAGTTGATGTGTTCCCATGCTTCTGATGATGTTGCTACTAATTCTAGTGTTGAGTCAATAGGGGTTTTCAACACCATATCCTGGTTTGTATTCTCTACAGATGCTGTTACTATGTGGCTTTGTGGATGAACCAAGGTTGCTTATGAGACACAGGAGTAAAGAAATTATTCCAACCCAGATGGCGTATCATTTCAGAGACATTCAACCTGGATTACTGGTGGCTTCTGCAGTAGCTTTACATGAAAATAGCAAGATTCGTCTGAAAAATGCAGAGATATTTTTTAAGGTTCTATTTGTAGTGTACAAAAAAAACAAACCCTGAAAATTTCATTGTGTTTATAAAATTACCAATACCAATCAGTAGGGGATACTTGAAAATGAGAGAAATCTCAATGTGTCCTTTCTGGTAATTTTTTTTTTATAAATAAATAAAATATATCCCCATATACATGTATACGTGTTACTCTTATGATGGGTCCTGCCGTGAACTTTTCATTCTTAAATTCACATACAATATCTGGCCCACTATTTCTGCTGTAAGGCAAACATTTCTTAGTAAAATTACCCATGCATATCTTCCTTGTATACACATAAAAAATTATTTGCGTAATGTTTATTTGGCTTGTGTTGTTTTTCAGGTGCTGTGTGAGAAGATGGATGATGACGAGAACATTCCCCAGATGCTTGTAGATTTTTGGGAAGCATTACTTTCCACATATCCTACTGAGTCCATCTTACAGGATATTCTTTTCAAATTGTCTTCTCATTATGTGTGTAGAATACGCGATCTCCAACAACATACTTGTGTGAAACCATTAAAGAGCCCTGAAGATCTGGTAATTTTAGGTTTTTCCCCAGTTTGAGCTGATTTTAGTGTAATGCATGGCAATTATCTTTAACGGAACACTCCAATTAAAAGATATATGTCCTTCTTATGTTGGCATTTTTGGAAATGTGAACCTGTTAAAATAAGATAAACTCCCCTTATTCAATCACCAGGAGACTCTTCTTTTAGCAGCATCAATCCTTTTTGCAGCATCAATCATTCTCTGTACTGATAAGTTGTGTCCAATCAGAAGCATTTTAGGTACTAATTGCCTGTCCATGTTTATTATGTAAAACGTCTGATTCCAATAGAAATCTGCACTTTTATAAATCTCCTTGGTAACACTTCCCAGCAGTCAAACAGACAGACAGAGGGTTTTCTGCCTTACTTGCTTTGTATTATAGTGCAAAGTGGAAGTAAGTTGTTTCTCTTTGAGAAGCACTGTTTTTAGTTCACATGGTATGCTACACATGTTCGGTCAGTCCAAATTAAGTGATTGGACTGTTAATTTAAAGTGATGATGTCTACTAGTTTATTTTGTGTTGTAAGGGTTTGTAATTTAGTATAGGAGTGCAAAAAATGTGTGTTAGAAAAAAGTTCAACAGGAAAAAAAGGAGAGGAGATACAGCGCAAACTCCAAAGGCAGCAGAATAGGGTCTGTTACTTGGATACCCTAATAATCCAAGAGAAACTAGGAAAAAAATACAGAAATACTAGATAATCATATACAGACACATATGTACAATATTATATATAAAAATATAGAGATATAACAATATTAAAGAGTCCCAGCAAAAAAAAGTATTGTTTGGAGATAAGAACCTTTTGAAGATAGTGCTTTTTTGGAGGCCATTCTGTTATCCTTCTTTGTGTTCAAGTAGACAAAACTTTTGAGCTGATGAGGAATTCTGTTGTTGGTGTCTTGTATGAAATAAAACACAAAACCTACCAATAGTGTAATCCAGTGTATACAATGTCTTAGGTAAAGTTAATATAAAATACACTCACAAAGAGAGAGCTCCCAATCTGCTCTTAGATAGGGTTCTGAGCAGTACATTTATCCCACTCAAGGATAAATATGGAGCTGCCCCCTTTAGATGTTCACAATGTAAACTGCATATGAATGGAATAAAACAAGATCTAGTGCTCACCGTTTTAAACAATAGTACTTTATAAAAAATATATAATATGTACTCACAATTTCAAGAGCACCTTTTGCACAATGATCTCAGCTTGGGTGGTATGATCCCCACCAAGGATATATTTAGGTAGATCTGGAGGTTCCTTTAGATCAGGGGTCCTCAAACTTTTTAAACAGGGGGGGTTATAGTCCGGTCCCTCAGACACTATTGGGGGCCGGACTATAAAAAAATATGAACGAATTTCTGTGCACACTTAACACACACGCATAAGGACATAAATACACACACACATACCAACATACAGACACAGACATACATACACACATACATACAGATAATACACATATTGACATACATGCAGACAGAAACATACTGTCATATACACATACATAGTTAAATACATACAGATACATACATACACACAGACTGAAATACATAAATACACATACATGCAGATACATACACACATACACATACACACATACAAACACATACTGACATACATAAATACTCACACACACATACTGACATACACACATACTTACATACACACACACACACTGACATACATACATACAGACTAACATACATACATACACACTGACAGACATATATACATACTGATATACATACACAGCTAATTTTGTTTACCTTTTTTTGCAGTAGGGTGGCTGTGGCTGATAGGAGTCAGCGTGGCTCCCGTGGCCTGGCTTTCTTCCTTCCCGTGTGGAGGGAGCTGGGAGGAAGTGACCACCGGCTGCAATATTTTTTTTTTTTTTTTTTTTTTAAGGGTCTCGGTTGCGCTATTGCATAGCCGTAGCGCTGACCAGGCCCCTGGAGATATAGGGCCCATTGGGTGGCCCTGAGTGCTTGGGCCGGGTCCAGGACCCTAATGTAGCCCTATTTATAAGGCTTTAAGATAAATGATCATTGAAATATGACATAATGTAGGTCACATGACCTTCATTCACATATATATTGCATTTATCTTCTGATTGCATATCATAAAAAAGCTCAGTTGTCCAAACATCTATTTAAAACATTGTGTATGTGATAATACAGAAAAATGTAGAATGATAAATAGTAAATAAAGTGTATAAAAAAAAAATCTGAATTATTTTACTGTTTTTAAAACTTGATAAATGAAGCTTGGTAAATAAAATGAATAAAATTAAAATATAAATATCAGAAAAAAATAAAATGAAAAAAGGGGAATATGTTATATTAAAGGAAATTATGCAGATCAGAATCTACATTAACTCTTTCTGTCTGCAATTTTTTTAATTCATAAACCCAATTTATCTCTGTTCTGCCTAAAATTTTCTTACTATCCCCTCCTTTCCAGGGTTTTTTACATTTTCGTATTTCATAAGCTGTTAAAACTTTGGGATCCTTATGGTAAATGAAAAAATTAGATTTTCAAAATCTCTTAAAATATTTATGCAAACTCGCTTATTCTAACGTGTAAGTTCCTTTTAGTCACCCCTACGTATTGATAACCGCAAGGGCATTCTAGCACATACATTTTTTTTTGTCTGTTATAAAATACTTAATAAATTATTTTTTTGTAATATTAGATGTAAAGGTAGTAATTTTTTTCTGAGCTCAGTTAGTGTACCTAACTACTGCACAATTTCTGCACCTAAAAAAAACGTTTTGATCGGTTAATGTGCCTGTGCAATATGCAAATAATGCAATGTTACTGGGCTGTGGGTGCCAAGAGAAACTCTGGTTATGTCAATCTTTTCACAAAGTGCAAAGAAACTGCACTCAAAAAACTATTTTTGCAAAATAACCACTAAAATACATTTACTGTTGGTATCTAAAACTTTGTATTTAGTAAACAAGCTCTGCATTCAGTGTCAGCATATTTAATGTGAATCTATCTTTTCATTCCAGAGAAATTCCTGCAGCCATTTTGGAATAATAAGCCCATGGATTTCAAGGCTGGTGTCCTCAGAGACTGCATCTTGTCTTGATTGTGGAGACCTGATGAAATTACAGGTAGAATTAAATGTCTGTTTTTAAAATGGCAGCAGTGTTAAAGGATCACTATAGGGTCAGGAACACAAATATGTATTCCTGATCCTATAGTGTTTAACCCACCATTTAGGGCTTGCCCCCATCCCCCTTTGCTCCCTCATTATGGGTTAAAACTCGCCTTATTTTCAGCTCTTCACTGGTGCGTTGGCCCCGCCCCCTTGGTGACATCAAAATTGTCAGTTTTTAGCCAATCCTATGCTTTTCCATGTCTAAATAATTGGATTGGCTAAAATCGGCCAGGGGGTGAGGCCAAACACAGTTTTGGCCAATCAGGACCTCCTCCTCATAGAGATGGATTGAATCAATGCATCTCTATGAGGAAAATTCAGCGCCCGCATGCAGAGGGTGGGGGCGCTGAACGACAGGGCTGCTTACTGTACAGGGGCACTTTTCTCTGAAAAGGCAGTGTTTACATGAAAATGCCTGAAGGGAGCTATTCTACTCACCAGAACAACAACATTAAGCTGTAGTTGTTCTGGGGACTATAGTGTCCCTTTAAGTGTTGCATAAAATATGATTTGCAAAAGTGTGACTTATTCAGGGTTCAAAGTGAACTGGAAGGAAATGTTTACATTTTAGGTATGGGTTGACTGTTTTTTTTTTTTTTTTTTTATTTCAGCTATTTTGGCCTATAAATAGAAATTCAATTTGATTTCCATGCAATTCACACTGCTCAAGGGGGTTATAGGATATGTACAATTATGCCAGATTATTTTCAACTGAAAGCTGTGGTGTAGTAGTCACACATGCATTTCCTGATGCCATCACTTCAGTAGTTTCTTTAATTATATAGTTTTTTTTCTAAACCAAGCTCCCATGAGCATGTTCCTTGCTTACTTGGTAGTTTCTGTGCACCTTTATTTTTCTTTTTTTTTCTTTTGTAGATGGGTATGACTGAAATGTACGCATCTTTTGAACACCTGTATACCATTCAGTCTTTGAAACCAATAAACAGGCCAGGATGTTCAGTTTCTGCAGACATTTCAATAGCATCTCTATAATGCACAAAAAAGTGTTTGTTTTAATTCTTTCATGTATTGTTTGTTGTGCGGTTGTTGGACCAGACTTCTACTGTATAATTTAATAAAAATAAAATGAAAAGTCCAGACTGCAGTTTGGCAGTTGATTTTATATTGCTTGACTATGCTTTTTTTTTCTTCTTTTTTTCTTCTAAAGCTCACACTTCTTGTAATATTGCTTTCTGGAAAAAAAAAATGCATTGATGGTCATGGCGCATACCTGTCATGGCGCACACACAATTTTAGCAAATATAGATTGGGAGAAAACAAAATCTAAAAACCTATCAATCAATTTGTTGACATAGACTTTAATGCCAGAGAACTGACTGACTTGTAGGACAATCAAATCCTTCTACTGGCAATCATCCTGCTACCTTGCACAGCAACACAGTAAATGTTCTGTAGTGGCCGAGGTTACTAGCCTGCTCTTCTTCAGAAGAGAAGAATTGAGTGATTGATGTCACTCTGTTCAGATGATGATAAGCTTACATTGAATCCAATGTAAATACTGAACTATGTTTGATACAAGGGGGTGTATATATAAAAGTGGGGTAGTCACTGTGAATATCCCATTGAGTTCCATGAGAAATGTGCTGTAAAATTGCCCTTTTATAAATGACCCCTGTAATGGCCACTCACTGTGAAATTTCTACTAGATATTCCATTATTGCAATTTCCACTGCAATTGAAGCATCTTGTTTATGTTTTGTTTTGCGTAGTCTCTGCTCTGTGGGCCATCCATGGATATTCCATCATTTCTTCCTCTATTGAAGTTTATCCCAGAAGAGCACAACTCTAATTTAAGCATTCACATTATATGTGAAACACGCATGATGGAATATGAAAATGCAATAGAGAGACTTTTGGATCGGTGTCCTGAAGCTGTTATACAATATGCCAGACATGAGATAAAGAATGGGAGCCAGGTAATAGCTCTTGCTGTATAAATATTTAGATAACTTGAAATTTATATTTGACAGTCCCTTGTGTATTTTTATAAATTGTAAAAAAAATGTTTAAGTAAACGTGTACAATGATAGGGTTGTTTACTTCTCAAATAGAACAATATATACACACATTCACTACTGTATATATATTGAAGAAACTGTTACAATCCATTGTATTTAGGTATAAAATTTGTGATGACTTTACTTGAACATGTACAATCCATATAACTAATATTTAGCCCTACAAGTTTAGTTTCCAAATAATTATAAGAAGTTGACAGACGATGAATCCTATAAGTAAATGAAAACTGCAATGCACACTGCCTTAAAGGCTCATTCTTTATAACATAAGTTATCTGCAGATGTAGTGGTTATAGGGTCGTTAGGCTATGGACACTGTTACACAGACCCTGGTCAAGACACCAGCTGCAGTCTGTGCTCAAGAGTTCTTCTTCGACTTAGCAATAGCCATTTCATCGCCATTTAGCTTCAATTATTGTCTGAGTGCATTAGCTGTCTTGCTCAGCCATCTGCATAAAAAACAGATTTTGCTAATGCAGAGCTCCATGAGACAGCCACTAGAGGAATTGGAGGAAGGATTAACCCATTTGTAAACATAGCAGTTTCTCTGAAACTGCTATGTTTATAAAAAAAATGGGTTAATCCTAGCTGGACCTGGCACCCAGACCACTTCATTAAACTGGGTGCCTAGAGTGGTCTTTAAATAATGATAATCTGAAATAGTATTTAAAGCCCAGGTATGTGCCAGGCTGTTTGGGCATATAATCCATGCCTGCTGGTCTAGCACACAGGAGGCTAATTGCGATATATTCTTTTTACTCTCCCCCCCTCCATTCTTTTTAATCCCCCCCTACATTCTTTTTAATCCCCCCTCCATTCTTTTTTTAATCCCCCTCCATTCTTTTTTAATCCCCCTCCATTCTTTTAATCTCCCCATTCTTTTAATCCCCATTCTTTTTAATCCCCCCCATTCTTTCCCCCCTCCATTCTTTTTAATCCCCCCTCCATTCTTTTTAATCCCCCTCCATTCTTTTTAATCTCCCCCCATTCTTTTTAATCCCCCCATTCTTTTTAATCCCCCATTCTTTTTAATCCCCCCTCCATTCTTTTTAATCCCCCCTCATTCTTTTTAATCCCCCCCTCCATTCTTTTTAATCCCCCCCTCCATTCTCCCCCATTCTTTTTAATCCCCCCTCCATTCTTTTAATCCCCACAATTTTTACTCACTCCCCAATTTTTGCTCCCCCCCCTCAATTCTTTTTAATCCCCATTCTTTTTAATCCCCCCTCCATTCTTTTTAATCCCCCCTCCATTCTTTTTTAATCCCCCTCCATTCTTTTTTAATCCCCCCCTCCATTCTTTTAATTCCCCTCCATTCTTTTAATCTCCCCCTCCATTCTTTTTTAATCCCCCCCTCCATTCTTTTTAATCCCCCCTCCATTTTTTTTAATCCCCCCCTCATTTTTTACTCACCCTCCCAATTTTTTAATCCCCATTCTTTTGAATCCCCCTCCATTCTTTTTAATCCCCTCCATTTTTTACTCCCCCTCCCCCACCCTCCATTTTTTTTACTCTCCCCCCTCCCCCTCCCTCCATTCTTTTTACTCCCCCCTCCCTCCTTCTCACCTCACCTTCCCTGTGCAGAGTGGGTGGCCGTGCTCCTCTTCGTCCTGTCAGTCCGGCCGGGTACCGCGCGGTACAGGAGATTCAGTTACCTGTTCCCAGCCGGACTGAAAGGAATTGAGCACTCAGTGTACACTTCCTTTCAGTCTGGCCGGGAACAGGTAACTGAATCTCTTGTACCGCGCGGTACCCAGCCGGACTGAGAGGACGAAGAGGAGCTCGGCCAACCACTCTGCACAGGGAAGGGGAGGTAAGAGGCAGTGCGGCAGCCGTCTGAGCGCTCTCTATAGAGTGCTCAGGCGGCTGCAGCACTAGCATACCTGGCGCATAAAATGACCCCCACTTTGGAAAAGATTTTCCAGGGGTAAAAAGTTGTCTTATACGCCGGAAAATACGGTAAGTAAAATAATCTTTTTAAAGTAAGGAGGGGGTATCTAAAGAGTATTTTACCAATATAGTGTCAGGAATACATGTTTGTATTCCTGACATTAGTGTTCCTTTAATCCACAAATGGCAAATGATTTTGGTAAACTAGAAAAATGGTCAGAGTTGTGGCAACTGACATTTAATGTGGATAAGTGCAAGATAATGCATCTTGAACGTAAAAACCCAAGGGTAGAGTGCAGAATATTAGATAAAGTCCTAACCTCAATATCTGAGAAAAGTGATTTAGGGGTAATTATTTTTGATGACTTAAAGGGAAACTCCAGGCACCCAGACCACTTCTGCCCATTGGAGTGGTCTGGGTGCCAACTCCCACTACCTTTAACCCTGCACTTGTAATTATTGCAGTTTTTATAAACTGCAATATTTAACTTGCGGGGGGAAGTCCTCCTCTAGTGGCTGTCTACTAGACAGCCACTAGAGGGACTTCCGTGTTCATACGCTATGTGAGGACCTCCAGTGTCGCCGAAATCCCCTTAGGAAAGAATTAAATAATGCTTTCCTATGGGGAGGTCAGAAGCGCGCCGCACATGCGCATTAGTTCTCTCCTGCTGGCTGACGGCGGGGGAGGAGAGTAGGCGGAGCCTGACCAGTGCCCAGGGTTATCAACGCTGGACCCCTTCAGCAAATCGGGATGAGAGGGAGAGGGGCACTCCAGGGTCCTGCAGTGCCAGAAAACAAATGTTTTCCTGGCGCTGGAGAATCCCTCTAAAGGTAGGCAGACAATGTACTATGAGTATTGTACACAGTACTGGAGGCCATATCTACAGAAGGATATCGATACTTTAGAGTGCGTTCAGAGAAGGACTACTAAACTGGTTCATGGATTGCAGGATAAAACTTACAAGGAAAGGTTAAAGGAACTTAACATGCATAGCTTGGAGGAAAGACAAGACAGGGGGGATATGATAGAAACATTTAAATACATAAAGGGAATCAGCACAGTAAAGGAGACTAAATTTAACCCCTTTATGACCAATGACGGTTCAGGACTGTCATCGGAAAAATCCCCTTGAGGACCGATGACGGTCCTGAACCATCATAACGGAAATATTTCACGCGATCACCATCGTTCCCCCGCCAGCGATCAGCGTCTCCCGGTCTGGGGGGACTGCCTGACAGCCCATGCAGTCCCCCCTCGGCGAATTGGGGCCCTGTGTCCATGTAATCGCTTTAACAGAGCGGTCACTAGGCCGCAATAGGCATCCGTGAACTGACAGGCAGTCCGCCTGCTGGTGAAAAAAGTTTTAAAAAGTTATAATAAAGCAGTCACAGTAAAAAAAAAAATATATATATATTTATATAAGATATATATATATATATATATATATATATCATAATGTCAAATACATATATTAATATAAAAATGCACTTATATATACACATGTGTAATGTAATTATAATAACTATATATATATATATATATATATATATATATTGCATATATTATAAAATATAAATAAGTAAATAAAAATAATTAACAAAAATATATATGTAATTTTATTCTAACTGTATTTTGATATTAATATATATTTATATCAAAACACACTTAGAATGAAATTATAAATAGCTATGTATATATAAACAAATAATATAATGCAAAATATATATATATATATATATATATACACAAAATTACATAAATAATTTCATAAATATACACGTAGACTTCAAATATATAAATATGTATGTATATTTACATTCTACGTGCATATTTATGCAATATTTTTACATAATTAAGTAATTTTATTGTTTGCAATTTGAGGGACCTGTCTGACAACCCAGGCAGAAAGTGCAGAGAATTTAATTTGCTAGCACTGTATTTAACCCTGTAACTTTACATGACACCCTAAAACCTATACATGGGGGAAGTACTGATTTACTCTAAAGACTTCGCTGAATACAAATATTAGTGTTTCAAAACAGTGAAAGTAGAAAATAGAAAACGGTCCAGGCACTCTAGGATACAAAAAGGCAATTTTATTGAACACACTGCCACTCACAACATTTCGACCTGAATGGTATTTGTCAAGCTTGACAAAGACCGTTCAGGTCGAAACATTGTGAGTGGCAGTGGGTTCAATAAATTTGCCTTTTTGTATCCTGGAATGCCTGGACCATTTTCTATTTTCTACCTATTCAGGTGTTTGGTTCCTGGTACTGGGACTGGCCTAGCTGCACCCAGAGATACATATTGTATGGGGATTGAGTGCATTTCCACACCCTTGTTTTTTGGTCATTGTCAGTGAAAGTGAAGTTTTTTGCATTTTTCACACACAAACTGCACTTTTACTGACGATATCATTGTTGTGATCCGTTGTAATGTTTTGTAGCCCGAGTATAACAGTACTCCCCAATTTACAGGTTTTATAGTGTTTTTGTTACTGGCTCAAATATAAGGCTTGACTTTTTTTTTTTTTTTTTTTCTACATTGAAATTTGCCAGGTTGGGTATGCCTTTGAGAGCGTATGGTAGCTCAGGAATGAGAATTACCCCCATGATGGCATACCATTTGCAAAAGAAGACAACCCAAGGTATTGCAAATACCACAAACACTGGCCAAAGTTAGCATTCATAATTGTGTTTTGCATTTTTAATATACAAATATAAATGCTAACTTTGGCTAGTGTTTGTGATTAAGTGGCTACTAAACAAGACTGGATATACCACATATTGAATACCCTGGGTTGTCTACTTTAAAGGAACACTATAGTCACCTAAATTACTTTAGCTAAATAAAGCAGTTTTAGTGTATAGATCATTCCCCTGCAATTTCACTGCTCAATTCACTGTCATTTAGGAGTTAAATCACTTTGTTTCTGTTTATGCAGCCGTAGCCACACCTCCCCTGGCTATAATTGACAGAGCCTGCATGAAAAAAAAAACTGGTTTCACTTTCAAACAGATATAATTTACCTTCAATAATTGTATCTCAATCTCTAAATTGAACTTTAATCACATACAGGAGGCTCTTGCAGGGTCTAGCAAGCTATTAACATAGCAGGGGATAAGAAATTAAACAGAACTTGCAATAAAGAAAGCCTAAATAGGGCTCTCTTTACAGGAAGTGTTTATGGAAGGCTGTGCAAGTCACATGCAGGGAGGTGTGACTAGGGTTCATAAACAAAGGGATTTAACTCCTAAATGGCAAAAGATTGAGCAGTGAGGCTGCAGGGGCATGTTCTTTACACCAAAACTGCTTCATTAAGCTAAAGTTGTTCAGGTGACTATAGTGTCCCTTTAAAAAAAATATGTACATGTGGGGTGTGATTCAGAGATTTATGACAGATAACAGTGTTACAATGTCACTATTGATACATTTTAAAAATATATATATTTTGAAACCGCAATTTCCTATTCGTACTTATAGCCCTATAACTTGAAAAAAAAGCCTGTAAACTCAGGACAAAATTTTGAATCTATTTAGCAGGTTTTTTTTTTTCATTAGCTTTTGTAGATAAGTAAAAGCTTTTTCAAGTAAAAGTCAAAAATATGTTTGTTTTTTGGTTTTTTTCCCACCATATTTTATTATTGTTTTTAAAGTAAATTATATGACATGATACAAATAATGGTATGTAAAGAAAGCCCTTCTTGTCCTGATAAAAACAATATATAATTTGTATGGGAACGGTAAATGAGAGAGAAAAAAATTACAGCTAAACACAAACACCACAAAAGTGTTTAAAACAGCCCTTGTCCTTAACGTACAACATGGCCAAAACAGTCCAGTCCTGAAGGGGTTAAAAGAAGAAAAACTACCACAACAAGAGGACATAGTCTTAAATTAGAGGGGCAAAGGTTTAAAAATATCAGGAATTATTACTTTACTTAGAGGGTAGTGGATGCATGGTATAGCCTTCCAGCTGAAGTGGTAAAGGTTAACACGGTGAGGGAGTTTAAGCATGCGTGGGATAGGCATAAGGCTATCCTAACTATAAGATAAGGCCAGGGACTAATAAAAGTATTTAGAAAATTGGGCAGACTAGATGGGCCGAATGGTTCTTATCTCCCGTCACATTCTATGTTTAAGTAAAAAAATAAATAAAATTAAAATCAGAATTTGGAACATTTCTCCATTTGGCTATTCTGTACTGATATTTGCAACTCCGTTATATGTTTTTCACAGTTCCCACCTTAGTGATTAGACTAAACAAAGTATAATTTTCCCATATTACAACATGACTGAATCTGATATACAAGAGTGGCTAATGTAATTAATTATAAGAGTGGCTTTGGAATAAGTTGCAAATGTGAATATTTTAATAATTCTGGAATAAGTTGCAAGTTGTGTGTGTGGGGGGGGGTGGGGAATAAATTTTGAACTCTCACTATGCTAATTATGTTTTGTTTACTGCCGGGATAGGCTCTCTGGTGGAAGAAGTTGCTTCCTGAACTGTGTCATCGAATCAGGCAGAGTGAAAGTGAAAACAAAACCTTAATCGCCTCTTTAAGAGGTAAGGCATTTTCATGGTGTGACTGTGTGAAATCACTGTACTGTCGGTTTATGAATACAGCACTCTTCTTTAGTGTTTCTATCTAATGTTCTAACATGTATGTTAACTATTTAGTGATATCAACCCTCATGTTGGTGTTTTCTGAGATTTTGCTCTGAACTCAGATTCTTGAGTGGCCTACCCTGTTCTCATAGCATCATTGTACATTCTCAGTGATTATAGAATTAGCAGTAGCTACATATTAACAGAAGTACGAAATGCCTAAGTCCTGAACTGTTGGGTTTGCATTGAAGACTGGTTGGAGATCCACTTTTTTGAGCCCTGTGCCCGCCACAAAATACATGTCACGCATAGAAATTTATACACTTGATTTTGCAGCATAATTATAAAATCTATAATTAACCTGCCACAAACTGGGAAATATCACACCTTCATATTTACATTTGATTTTGTTACTATATAGTACAACAGCTATGGTCTTCTAAGTAACATGTGGAATGCCACACTTCACTGTAACACACTCCTGATCATTCTTGGAAAAACAGATCCTAACAAACTTTCTTAAAATTTATGGAAATATATTTTGATGCGGTTTCTTGCTGCCTCTTGTGGATTTTGCATCTGCATTTTATGCAGCTACCTTGATATAACCGTAAAGATGATTCTTGATTACTAAGATTGTGTTTGTCTTGTAGACACTCTGGAGGTGATCAGCGTGGAGCTTGAGCTGCAGGACTTCCTGAATGTGCTGCCTGATGATGGAACTGCTGTGTTTTTCCTGCCTTATCTTCTAAACCAAAGAAAGCTGGAAATTTAATTAATATGATCGCTAATTTACACAATCATCCCAAGTTTGGAATGTGCAGTGAATAAAACCTCCTCTGTGACTTTTTTTGTTGTCTTTATTTTACAGAGATCCAGCTTTCTTCTGCAGAAGAAAAATGCTCTCCTCCCTTCCCATATTAGATAATGGTTAGAAGAACAATTCTCTTGACATGACTTTTGTATGCTCTACAAGTATCGTTGTATGTAGTCTACTAATCAGGACTAGCTTTTAATACTGTATTTAAAAAAAAAAAAAATCTAAGAAAAAAAAAGCTAGAAAAATGAAGTGTATTGTTTTAGGCCATGCAGGATATTTAATTCTAAAATATTTTAAGATTTTGACAGTTGCTCAATCAATTTTCCAATTGTTCCTTTATTTTCTGTAAAGTGAAACAGGAGAAAAGTATTACTTATTATTGAACTTAAATGGTGGTAAAATAATTTTATATAATTCTCTGAAAAAAAGTTAACTGCAATATGTATTTAACGCTATCCCATCAACGACACGAATCAATATGTGCTAGTTTGCTAACGGGAAACTCTAAGCACCATAACCACTACCGTTTAGAGTAATGGTTCTATTCACTCAGTATCTGGGAGCCATTCCTGCTTTATGCCACGCTTTTAAAATTAAAGAATAAAATATCAAAAGAGTGTATGTTCTGTAACCCCACAACTCTGGACTCCAACCAAGGAAGTCTTATATGCACAGAAAACAAAATTGCGTAGGTGAAACCACAGGGTGAACAAAAAAGAAGAAAATCAATTCCAGGGCAGTAAAAGGGTCAACTCACAATAGCAAATTTAGTCATCAAACAGGGTGCCTACTCATAAGCAATTTGACTACAAGACTTCTCAATGAGACAGTGTCCAGGACAGACAACATATGCTACATAAAAAGGGGAAGGTTTTTAGTAGTTACAGAAAGTAGTTCTGCAACTTATGTAACCTAGATCTTTCAAACCTCAAAAAAAATATTAAATGCATATTTATTTATATTTTTGAGGGAGGGAGGGGTTACATCTACTTAATGGTTTGAATTCTTATATGTATGCCCATTATCCAAACACTTTCACTAATCCTTAACCCCTATGCTAACTTCAACGTTAGAAAACTACCCTAACTTTTAAATATCATAAAATATATCAAATAGCTACTGGAACTCACTCTGATTTCTCAAGTGTATGTCCCAGACCTGCACTAACATGAATCTTTTCTTAACCCCTGCATTAAATGAACACACTTATTCTTAACCAGTGTGCTCATACACATATACACAATATATAAGGGGGGTGGGGGAGAGGTTACTGAGCATACAGCACACTTTCTACATGTTGTCAGTCATTGCAGTGGTGCACAGTGAGACTGTGGCAGAGGTTGGGGCTATGTAGTCCCCTCTGCCTAGTCTGTCATTGAAGTTGCAAGCTCTATGCAGTAAGCGCAGAGGGCATGAATAAGACATTCAGTCTTATCTCTACCTCTGTGGGTCTCACTGCACATCACTCACAGCATCAGCGACAGACCCGGGCAGAGGAGTATACAGAGTCTAATCCTCTACCTTAGTCCTGATCGCCGATGTGGCAATACAGGTAAGGGGGTAAGAGACACACAAGGGGTAAAGGACATGTGGATTAAGATGGGACTGGGTGACACAAAAGTAGTAAGTGGGAATAAGAGACAAATATACTGCTCGATACTACTCTGTATATTGTACAAGTACAAAGCTTGCACACATCTGTTTGAAAACATATTGTTCATTATTACCTATGGACAAGTAATTTAAAGGGACACTGTAGTCACCAAAACAACTTTAGTTTAATGAAGCAGTTTTGGTGTATAGATTATGCCCCTGCAGTCTTACTGCTCAATTCTGTGCCACTTAGGAGTTAAATCACTTTGTTTGTGCAGCCCAAGGCACACCTCCCTGCATGTGACTTACATAGCCATTCTAAACACTTCCTGCAAAGAGTCATCTAACGTTTACACTTCCTTTATTGCAAATTCTGTTTAATTTAGATTTTTATATCTCCTATTTTGTTAATAGTTTGATAGACCCTGCACTTGCCTCCTGTGTGTGATTTATAGTACATTTTAGCAGAGGAGGAGATAAGTAAGTTACATCTGATAGAAAGTGAAACCATCTTTTTTTTTTTTTTTTTTCATGCAGGCTGTGTCAGTCACAGCTGCACAAAGGTGTGGCTAGTGTTGCATAAACAAACAAAATTGATTTAACTCCTAAATGCCAGAGAATTCAGATGCATGATCTATACACAAAAACTGCTTCATAAAGCTAAAAAGTTACTTTGGTGACTATAGTGTCCCTTTAATTGGGGAAGTACCCTTACATACACATAGTAGTCGTACAGTGCAGACAAACTGGTTTGTTATGAATTCCTTGATATATGTTCAAACTGCATTTTTGTGTAATATACACTAATTGTGCAATTCCGTTTCAAAGTTTTGTAAATAACTCTACATATTTTATTAGGTGCAAATGTATTTTTTATTTTTTTATTTTTATGTCTAAATGTCTGTCGATGCATTCATGATTTTTATTCTATTCTTGTTATCTCTTACCTTCCAGTACAGTGTACGTTATCTCCATTCCTGCGGTCATGTGGTCTGCCACATGACAATGCAGCAGCCAAGTGCCAGGAACAACTGCAATCATTTCAACAGTTTGAAATGTCCCAGGGAAAAGCCCAAACACGTCATTCTGATACATGTAACCTCTCTGGTGGATAAAACGAAAAACAGTGTGGCCGCAAAGAGTAAATAGTTATGGATCAACATTGTGTTAAAGAGTTACAATAATCATTTTGAGAGTGCAAGCGTGTCTGAAGATGCGCTCGTGCTGTGCTCATGGGGACAGTTCCCTGCTTTCATCAGATACAAAACACCAGGTAACAAAATCAGGATGGTGGGTCTGTCCTACTGAAATTGGGTCAACGGGTATTCATTGAGAAAAGTTTATACTACTGCTCCCTCTGTTACCAATTAAATGTGTCCATTTTCTTTGTATCTCTTTTTGTAATATATTTACTAGAAATGTATTTTTACTCAAGTCCATTAACTGGCTAATATGCTGAATGATCAATGCTATCATCTTCATTTGTGTAGGAGCGTCAGATGTTTTTCAAAACTCCTGTAAGAACAAAATAGTCACCTGGTACATATTAATGCTCTAGAGAAGACAGCTGCATTTCTGTCTTCCATTTTGTATTTTTTTGACAAATCATGTGAATAGAAAAAATGGTTACCTTATACTGAAAGCTGTGTGCGTGGAAATGCACTGTGTGCAGATCCACTTTGTTTCCCATTCCGATCAAGTACCAAGTGATATGATCTCCAACTTGCATTGTGAGGCCGTGTAAATTTGCATACAATTTTCCATTTACACCTGGAATAAAGTTATTTATATTTCCGCTTGGTCACAACAACTCTTATGGTTGTGCATATATTATGTGGTGTATATATGATAATTCTACTTTTCTGGTGTAAATTCAACACTAGTGAGACTAGGCATATGTTCCTACTAGGCAAGTACCACAAGTCAAACGAACCCTATCAGTGCCACAGTAGAGAGCACCGGGATTCATCATTAGAGATGCTGTCCCCTGTGGCACTGAACGTTAAAGGGACACTGTAGTCACTACAACAACAACAGCTTAATGAAGTGGTTCTGGTGTCTACAGCCTGTCCCTGCAGACTTTTTAATGTAAAGCTGCCTTTTCAGTGAAGTGTGCAGCACTGATGTTCAGCGTCTCCAGGCTCCGGATGATTCAACGCACCTCTATTAGGAGATGCTAATTGGGGCAGCACTGCGGTTTGCTGCACATGTGCAATAGACTCCCAATGCTTTCCTATGGAAAAGCATTGGATTGGCTGAGATTGTCAAGTTTGATGATCTCAGTCAATGTGGTAAAGGTGGGGCCAGCTCCAAAGAAACCTGCACGGAGCTGCAAGAAGGTGAGTAAAATCACTTTTTACTTTCCTGACAGGGGGGCCTGATACCTAAACATTGCTTTCAGACCTATAATGACAGGAATACATGTTTGTATTCCTGTCACTATAGTGTTCCTTTAAATAAGTTGTACATGCTGAGCGGCGTGTAATAACAGTGAGCCCAACAGCCAATATGCACTCTCCAATAGAAAAAAAAAAAAGTAAAACGCCTGGCATCTCCCTGGACCACAGTAATACCCGGTGAGTTTCTATGAGTGGCCAGTGTGCTGTGAGGTGAAGAAGAAAATGTTAATGTGGACACAGGAAATGCCCAGTCTCCTGGGCCCAAAAGGATTTATTCCATTAAAGATTAACCACATCTAGTTAATTTCTTGGGCACTTAAATTGACGACTCCCTCCTCCCAGATGGCTAAGGGTCCCCAATCGGAGTCATTTTATCAATGGATAATATTAGAACAAAGTGACTCTTCCAACGAAGGACCTACCATGCATTTTATTGCTTTCAATAAAATCTTCATCTTCTTTATTGACGCTGTTGGGAACCTTGGAAAATGTTTGAATGTTTTCATCCAGGTACCAGGATTGGTTTTCATCAAAAATCATAAAAAGCAGTGGGAATTCTAAATGTGACCTTTCCAGAGGTTGATCGTTGAAAGATGACTGCTTGCAAATCAGAAGAGCACCAATCAAACCACTATACATATCCTGAGAATGAACAAAAACTACATTTTGTTATTGAAAATGGTATAAAAAAAATCAGCATTTCTTCCTTACACTTACTTTAAGAATTGATTGCAATTTTTTTAAAACTAACACTTTATCAAAATAAATTACACATACAAGCTAGCAAGTAGGGTTCTCCATTACACCTGCCAATTGTGCAAACATATATTTATTATATATTATTTACTTATTTAACCAAAAGCAACATAGAGATGTGCCAATTGCCTGCTGACTAACACTGACAACATGGAAATAAAGGTTTTTCCAGAAAAAACAATAGCCTATGATTTTTGTTATCAGGGCAAACTTTTCTTTCCTGCATAACAGTGTCAAACGAATATCCACACAGACATGAGCACTCCAGACACAGAAAGCTTGCTGAAGTGCTTAAAGGGACACTCCAGGCATCCAGACCACTTCTGCCCATTAGAGTGGTCTGGGTGCCAACTCCCACTACCCTTAACCCTGCAACTATAAATATTGCAGTTTTCCTATACTGCAATATTTACCTTGCAGGGTTAACTCCTCCTCTAGTGGCTGTCTACTAGACAGCCACTAGAGGGCACTTCCGGGTCTATAGCACACATTTCCTCCAGCGTTGCTGAAATCCCCATAGAAAAGCATTGAAAGCATTTTTCAATCTTTTCCTATGGGGAGGTCTAATGCGCATGCGCATTAGGTCTCCCCCGCCGGCTGCCGTGCATGCGCAATAGGTATTTCCCTGGGGATGACATCGGCGGGGGAGGAGCGTGGGCGAACCCTGAACCAGCGCAGAGGGACATTGGTGCAGGATACAGGTAAGTCACTGAGGGGGTTTTAATCCCTTCAGCAACATGGGATGGTGGTGGGAGGGAGAGGGGAGCTGCAGTGCCAGGAAAACAGTTTGTTTTCCTGGCACTGGAGAGTCCCTTTAATTTGTGAAGACTGTGTCCTCTTTCATTTTACAAAAACTGCAGATTTTAATAGAACTTGTCACTTTTCTTAATTTTAACATTGTTATACCCCCTTGGCTGTCAAACTATTGATCCTGATACTGCTTGGTTGTTTAGCTCAGTGGATCTAAACTCAAGAAGCAGCAATTGTTTAGAGCACCTGCCCTGGAAAGACTACAATGTAATGCAATGAGCTGTATTGGAAAGTGATTGGATAACCTTAAAAAGTCTGGGCTGGGAAAGAAGAGGAGGTCTTGTAAAGGCTGCAGATAAAAGATGTGCAGTTTTTGCAAGCTGTTGTTAGATACACTCCTAATAAAAAAGACTAATAAATGCGTGTATGTTTTTATTGGGCCTAGATCTACTAAACAGTGATTTATTCATTGATATATTTTGTATTTAGACAGTAGAGTGTCCCTTTAATCCCTTAAAAATGCATGGTGGAGTTATTCTGCCATGGGAGTCCCAGATATGAGTCGAAACCTGAGGCTCATCAGCTGTGGCCATATTTAGTGGCCCCAGATTGACAGATAAGCTGTACATAGGGCTGAAAATCTGTGCTGTATGCAGCACTTTAAATGGGGATTTAAGTTCCAATAACTGCATGTAGTGTGTGCATGGTTAAATCCATTTTCATACTTGGGAGAACCGAGTATTAATCGACACCTGGGGCACCCAACTATCCGATGAGGCACAACTAGTGTTACAAGACTTTTGATTAGTCAGCTTTGCATACATCACTTTAAATGTATAGAGAACAGCACGCCTAAGTGAATAACCCAGCCATGGTGATTTTCAGTGTGAAGCCTGCTTGTGGGAGACCTTGCAGGGCATCCCTCAATGACCCAATTCCATAGTAATCAGTGATGGACTTTGCCTGTTGCCCAGCACCAATCACAATGTAAAGGCATTGAAATTAGCGTGCCAGGAGGCATGGGGGAATTATTCTACCACTATTGTTATGGTTAGAATTAAAACTAGGATTAAAGGTTATAATTAGTGTTAGGCATAGGTTATGAGTCATGATTAGGGTTAGGTTTATGATTAGAATTAGGTTTAGATTTGTTATTAGGATTTGTTTTAGAATTAGGATAGGATTAAAAGCATCCTTTAGTGCCAGGAAAACAAACCAATTTTCTTGCCACTATAGGTTTTTAAGGAGCCCCCGTCTCTCGAGCCCCCCTCACCCTCCTTGTGGGGCTGAAGGGGTTAAAAGCCCACTTTGATATCTAAAGTTGCAAATGTTATGCATTTGTTAAATAATTTAAATATGTGAGCTACTAAAATAACCCAAAGTCTATGATGGACCAATCTGCAATTTGAAGTTGACAGGTTATAAATTAAAAAAAACAACCCAGAGAACTTGCAAAATCTTAGAGAAACTCAGTAGTTTGCCTTTCGGTTAATCCCTGCTCAGGTCTCAAAAATGTTTTTGCTCACTTGTGCCATTACGCATAGGTTATAAATTCAGCTCTGTAGTTTAACAAAAACTTGACAAGGGTATTCAAATGGGGGTCTTTCTGTACTCCAAAGATATAGCTGAACACACAATTTAGTGTTTTTTATTACAGTAGCACATATGCCGTTTACAAAATAAATTGCTAAATTGCAATGTGCAAACTTTGAAAGAAATCGGTGCTAAAATGGCTATATAACAAGGCTCAAAATATACCGTATGACATACCCTGTGATGTCTACTTTCACAAACAGTATGCATTTATTGGGTAATTTGAATTGTAAAATTGATACAATACTCCAAGATGCAAAAAGACCACCAAATGCATCTATCAAAATTCTAACTAAAAACTGAAATAGTCAGGTCTCTTTTACAGCACTATAACGTTGCAAAATACTTCCAAATACATATATTTGTGGCATTCAGAAGAGTTTACTGAGCATAATTTGTGAGCTTGACCACAGTGGTACATATCAGATTTGAAAAATATCCAGCTTAAATATAACATGTACGTAAATAAATAAAATATATATTTTATTTTAACCACAAAGCTGGTGAAAAAATAGCAGCAAGACACAATATACATCAAATAATATACATTGAAGTGTTAACTGCTATGATGCCATAGGCCCATTAAATGCATGAATCAAAATTCTAATGGTAAAAACTAAAATGGCCAGGTCTCTTATATGGCACTGTAGCTTCACAGGATAGTGGCCAATACATACATTGGGTGTATCGTTGTACTCAAAAAATGTAGCTGAACATAATATGGGGTTTTGTACATGAGTAGCACACATCGGTTTTACAAAACACACATTAAAAACCTTGTTATATGTGTGTACGTTACAAATCTGAAAAAAAATATTTTAACTACAATATAAAATGGCTTCATTACAAGTGTCGAAATAACCTTTAAGTAAATATGCAGTCTTCTTTATATTAATATATAGTTTTGTGTGGCTATTTTGTTTTCTGTGATGACTAGTGATGTCCCGAACTGTTTGCGAACGGTTCGCGAACTGTTCGCCACGAACTGTTCACCACGAACGGTTCGCCACGGACTCCAGTCAGCAGACACATTCCAGCCAATCAGCCGCAGACCCTCCCACCTCCTGGACAGCTCACTAAGAATGCAGCTTCAAAATGGATGCTGTCCAGGCGGGGTCTGGGAGGGAGGGTCTGCTGCTGATTGGCTGGAATGTGTCTGCTGACTGGAGTTCGCGGCGAACCGTTCGGTGAACAGTTCGGGACATAACTAGTGATGACTATTAAGCTCACATAACAAATTGTAAAAACACTCCTCATTGACATTTTATTTTTTTATTTGCATTTTGTGACCTGTAACTACCAAAACAAACTGAACATCTAGACATATATGTATTCTATAAACAGGTCAAATGCATGAATTTATTTTGAATTACGGTACATTTCCTAAGCTCCACTAATTTTACCACATGACAGGACGCTTCCTATTTTGCATAACTTTCTTTACTTATGCCTCCAGAAGCACAAGTCAATCAATCAAAACTTTGAACCAATCATAGAACAGCATAGCCTGTATATAAGTCCTTGATGGGCGTGTCTATTCCTCTTTCTTTGCTGCTTCCAGACAGACAAACAGGTCAGAGTGATTCATGCAGTGTTAACTACCATTTACTGTTCATAGTAGTGCATTGATTTCATATTTTAATTATTAGTTAACCCTTCTACCCACTCCCTATCCTCTCAACCCTGTATCGCATCCTCCATATTATCTATCTGCCCTATCCAGGATCGGGGGAACTTTACTGCGATCGCACGCTTTTATTCGGGGCACTGGGTTTGCATAGGGGTTCCCTGGGAGGTGGGAGCTTGGGATTGAGGGTTTGATTGTACTAATTGTGCTGTGCATTTCTCATCCACGACGGCGGGCCGCGATCGTGAACCGCGCTGTCGTTTTGGCGCGAGTGGCGGCCTTCTTGGATCTCGCACCCGCGAGACCCAAGACGGCCATTTGCGCCCCTAGCGGTCGTGATTCACATGATCCGCTCAACACTCACTTGTCATATTTAATAGGATCGTCCAATTACAACCATCCTACATTGGAACATTGCTGGGAACAAACTGTAATATATGTTAACCGTTGCACTGCTGCTGAGTGATTCTACAGAGGTGAACCCTCTCATTTGGGGGTGATCCCCACTCACACTACTGCCATTATTATTATAGGGGTGACCCCCCTTACGCTGGGTGACCCCCAAGCGGAGCCATATTGCACTCAGTGCAGGATATACCCTGGGGTGATCCACACACCTCCTTACCAAGGAGCGAGAAAAAATTGGCAGTATACAGGCTCCACAATTCAAACTTTATTGGGTGACTCCCAATTCACACAGGCCCTCCACCCCGGACGGGTGCAGCCCATTTATATGACCGCTCATTTCGGTCACATAGAGGATGACCCCCCTCCTCAAACCACTTGACCCCTAATCAAACAGGCCCTCCACCCTGACGGGTGTGGCCCAATTATACGACCGCTCATCCCGGTCGCGCAGAGGGTGAACCCCTCCTCAAACCACTCGGGGCAAATAACACTGGGTGACCCCCAGTCGTAAGTGGAAGCCTACTGTATTGATATTCACGTACTTCGGTACCTGACATTCTCCTGTCTTTCACAGACAGACTACCCTACTGCCTCATGATGAGTGACTCACCACAATCACCACTGTCTGACCTCC